TTAATACTTTCATTCATAATAAGGTAATATTTGAGGTTATGTTGCAAAAAAGTGAATATATTAATCTGCTAAGCTGTAGCGGACAGGATGAGGTAGGGGGAAGAATAATAGAAGGTGGTGCCCCCAAGAAAGAAAACGCAAAATTTTGTCTCCAAGAGTTGTAAATTGGTGCACGTAGCTTACTAACTTACGAAGAATTGAAAATTCCAAAATAATTTTGAGATAAAGTTTTAGTGGGAGGTGGCTGCCACAAACCCTGTTTTGGAAATTTAGCTGTATAATTCAGCAAAATTTTGCTGTTCTCAAAAAATTCTCAAAACGCCGTTCGTAGGACCCCTCCGTTAGAGATCCTCTAACGTCCCCCCCCCCCCCAAATTTTTCAGTCGCTGCTCCTGATTAATGTGGAACAGTTAAACATAGCAGTCGTCCTACATCTGCTTACGTAATTGCGTAGCCTCAGAAAAATTTATGAAAAACAAAAAACAAAAACAAAGTATCCAAAATTAATGTAGTAATTGTCTTTTACATTATCGCGCTCTCATAAGATTTCTTATATTGCAAAACAAGCCAGGTGTAAGAAAAAATATCGTTGCACAGATGACCTGCACAAGTAGAGAATGTGTGCTTTTCATCTTTTAGAAAAACAGTCAAACTGAAGAAGCTAAGCCCTTTTAAAGATTCTGAATTGAAAGGCTTAACTGAGAGAAAATTTGCAAAACTGAAAAAAAAGAATGGACAAGAAAAAAATTCGACCTAAAAACCCAGCAGCTGATATCATGTGATTTGACTAATTAGGGAACGCAACAGAGCTGTTGACGGAAATAACACTCCAAGCTGATGACGTATGAGGATTGTCCATTGCTGGACGTGGTTACACCAGACACACTATATAAGTAACATTTGCACAAAATGCGCCTGAAGGAATGCAGCCTGCTCTCCCTAGAATGGCAGAGTGCAGAGCCACAGAGCCGAAGAATAAACATTCGGACGCAGACGACGTTCGCTCTAGTCGTCGTCCGTTCATACACACACACACAGTGGCACCCTAATTGGAAAATTCATCGGCAGCTCGGAATAATACATGAAGCGACGTCGAAAACACGAGCGGAAATAATAAATAAATTCATGAATATCCAAGTGACGAGATGAGAAATTCACGAGCCAATGCAGTATTCAGCTGCATGGCTGAAGAGACACGATGCGGACGAGGATGGCCGAAGAAAGGAGGAGATGAAAGAATTCTGCAATTTAGATGGAGAAGAGGAATGCCTGAGAGCTGATGCGAGGGGAACAGCAAGTGCACAGAGCAAAGTTCTAAGGCTTCTAAGAACTTTTATTTTTCCTTACAACTGAATTTGATGGCTATGATTGCAAATGAGAAAAGTTTCTGTTTGAAATCAGAATCCTAGAATGACTGCATTGTTTATTCCTAGTATTTTATTTTTCGTAGTTTTAATTGCCCAAATTTGTCTATAAATTCACTTTGCGAAGAACAAGACGCTCTCTCTTTCTTGTAAGAGACCCACCAAACCACTTTGTATCGCCATGCCTTCGGTATAGGCCCAAAGTTCCAAAAACATTTCTTCTTCAGCGCCATGTATCCACAAATCACGTTCAACAAATTAAAAATAGGATTTTTCTTAAATTAAACGTGTTCATTCCAAAAACCTTTATTCCTACGTTAGGTATATAAACAAGTGTTCAAGCCCTGAACTTGATAATTTTATAATGGCCGATTTAAGGGGAGAATTTAATTGAAATCGTGTGCATCACTTTTCACACAATGGAAGCAGATAATATAGTGTAATTTCGCTGAGGACGAGATGGTTGCGATGATTTTTTTCTCTGTCTCTCGTGTTCATATGCAGAAGTTACTTTTTTGATATGTTTGTCAACGTGATTTTTGGAGACGTGGAATTTTTTAAAAATGAAAAAGTCGAAAGAACGAATGATTTTGAGACCTCTGTTTTGCACTAATATTCTGGCTTTTGCTCGCTTTCTCTCTTTCCCATTTTTCCCTTCAGAACCTGCAGTAGTTCCTACAAAAACTGACTGGCTTCACTGTTATCGAGTCTAGGAAATAGCATGATAAGCGTCAAATTTCAGTTGGACTACTTCGCTGTTCAAATTCTTATTTGCAGGGAAAATGCGGATAAATTGCACTACTTTTACTAGATAATAGCGTAAAAGGAAGAGAATAAAATGACTGGTGAGAAATCATGGGTTTTCTGCGACAAAGCGCTATCCTCTTGAGCTCGATTTTAACCGTTTTTTTTTTCATTTACAGTAGCCTGTCACAATCCAGTATTTTGATCCTATTCCCAGAACAGTACACTATTTTTGCTTATCAAACAAGCATATTTGACAAATAACGCTTTTTCTGTAGAAATATAACCCCAAATTCATATTTTGGTATTTTGCTATTTAAATGCTTTTATTGTAGCAACCCCAATAGAGGGGCACCGCAGGGCATTTGATCCATTGTACATTTACACTAATGCACTTCCTCATAGGACTTCATCGAATATTTCTTTGAAACGAATAACAATAGTTACCACGTGGTTATTGTGTTTACTTGAAAAGAGACCACTATTATGACAGCATGAACTTATTAAAATTTTTGCCACACGTTCTGCTATTGTAATCGCCTCGCTTTGATGTGGAAAGCTAGTTGATAGGGATCCCGCAGCGAAGGTAGAGAATTTATGAACAAAGGACAATAGCGATGTTTATATTTGGATCCATTCGATGGTCCTTGCTAGATGGAACACATCTTTTGAACAGGGATAGTGCTGTAATTGTTTTCATTTTTGACAATGGCAACATCAATCTAGATCGCTATTTTTGGCAATGAAGTAGTTTTAAAGTGACAATTATGTAAGCGGACGATAGCTTTTGAGGCTAACAGATACAGTGGTGTTTGTGTCCTATTTGCGTTCAGAAATGCGGAATAAGCAATTTCAATCTAAACTACCTTTGATTCAACTGGCTTGGCGGCTGGAAGGCGGGCTTCTTAACCTACATAAGGGTAGGTAAAGGTCAGAGAGCGCGCGCTGGAGAGACGCAGAGTGCGTAGCGGCTGCGAGCGGCCTCAACTAGGTCACAAAGCCCCGCCTTTCAGCCGCCAAGTCAATTGAGTCAAAAATTACACACAGACATCCGCTCAGACAAAAGAGGAATCAGCTTTATCATGAGGTGATATAACATACAGTACATATTCCAATCACTTTAGTAGGGAATCTGATACATAAATGTCGTAATTTCACAAAGACAGAAACCAGAGTTTATGCCGACGTAAGTTGGATACAAAAGCTGTCACCGGCACATTCTCTTCTCCGTTCCTAGTGCAATCCAACTCCGGTTTTCTTGTTAATAATAAAGCTATCCTGTTTCATATCTGGACTCAAGGGTAAAAAGAACTGCCAACGGTGGCATAGCAAAGTCGCATTGTCAGTGCTAATCGCAAGTACAGATTTTCAAGGTTCACATGGAAGCTTACCATGTAGCCTCTTAAGTAACGAAGCTTTGTGGATAGCAGCAATGACACTACTAACTCTGACGATTGCAATTATGCATCGGGTGTCTCTGCGTAATGAGAGGCAATTTATGTGTGCAAAATAACTTCATTATGATTCGTGAGAGAAACGAAAAGAAGCCTGAATTATTCAGCAAGAAACGAGTTATGAGGGGCAACTAACCTCCTTAGCATGATCTACGGACACAAAGAAAGTTAGTAAATCTTGCAGCTTCGAGTAAACTGTCCCGTATATATTCTGCAAATGCACTGCACAGTTTACGCGCGATGAAGGAAGAGAGGTAAATGGTACTGTTGGAGCACATAATAAGTGATCGCATTCATCAGGACGCACCATAGGCCATAAACATTGAATAAACGACCATACTCAAAACTTTAATGAATAACCATTAGAAACAAGGGAATCATAAATCAGAAAAGTGGAGAAAGCGGAAGAAATACATAAAATTCACTAGGTGACAACCGCCGCCATTAGCAAATACGCAAAAGATTACATTTTTTTTTATAATGCAGGCAACAGAGTACACTTACATCTCTCCGATTACCCGACCTCAAAAACGCGAAAAACTAAGAAAAGTATAACGCTTATTTCAGTGCCAAATTGGATGCCCATGCTCATGCGCTGGTGCAAAGCAGCATATTCAATTCCAATCTATTCGGAAAATTTTCTTGAATTAAAAATATGAGCCCGAGATGGTTTCGCGTTGAATACAGTTATTTGTATCAGTGACACTGAAGAATGGCCGCTTTTAACATTTGCCGCCGGCGGTGGAGGAGGCCTCTGAAGAACACGAATAGTTTAAAAAGTTAAGCCGACACTTACAATAAGTCCGATAATCTCTATTGGCTTACTAATCCACTCGCAACATATTAACTTATTCTTGGAAAACACATTTCAGTCAAAGAACTGTTGATTAGAAGCCTGCGTTTTCATAAAATGTGCGAACATCTAAGGTTTGTAAGAAGCCTCGAATTTCAGTGTAAAAGTTCAACTCGTGACCTTCTGGTGGAAGATCAACATTTGCGAATTAGAAGCGCATACCGTGACCTTTTGGGGCAGCTGGGAAAGAAGTCAAAGTTACGGTTTCTCATGTACTGTAGTTTGTCGCGCTTTTAGAGCCTTAGAGAACAGTCTCGAGTAAAAAGCACAACAAACTTATCGTGGCAAACAGTCTTGCTAATTGACAACTTTTCAATGCGCAGGATTTGAGTAAAATCGAAAAAAACCTAAGTTATTGTTGAAGAACTTGGCTCACTTTAATTTGTGAACGCAGTTTTGTGCAAATGTCATTGGAATGTAGTCTTTTGAACGATTAGCTGTTATCGCTATCATGATTACATTTGTCTTCTGACACCGCAGTATTGCACAATCATATTGTTTAAAATGGCTAAATATCTTTTCCTTCAAGTTATACATCATACTATCTGTATAGTAGCACTAGCTAATCTTGGCTTGTTTTCAGTTATGATGACAACCTACTTCTTTGTTTTATTATTCATACTGCCTAGCCATGCTTTCAAGTTTCTTATGTACGAGCCGATTTTCGGCTATTCCCATACAAAGTTTATGGGATCCATTGCCGATGCGCTGACTGAAGCAGGACACGATGTTGTAAGTGGGTTTGGTCTTTTAGAAACTGCATTCTATTCGTGTTCCATCCATATGCATTCTAAGAAAGGGTCACCCACAAACTTAATCGTTAGTTTCTCAATAAATGAATTGAAAATTTATATTCATCTCAACAAACTACCAAAAATCTTGTGAATGTATGTGATTTTGCATAAAATGAATCTAGTAGTTAACATTATTGATAAAAACTAATTATGTGAGGAGTTTAACAAATTAACTTCTTTCATCGACCTCTCTCAGTACTTCTGTGATGTTTCTAAATCTTATTTCATTATTCGCGCACAACATATCTTTCATTTACAAAGAAAGAAGTTCATAGAAACAATGCTTTTGTGTTATAAGAAATTCACTCTTTGAGCATCATATTACTGCGAACAACCTTGCAAAAACAATTTCAAAACTACGGTGGTCTGTTGATACGGTAGTATAATGCTTAAAATAGCAGATTATTTGAAAAGGGAAATCATACATACAACTCACCAATTTCATCCTGTATGACATTTGATCAATTTCAGACGATACTGATGTCAGTCCTAGATCAAGACCAAGAAAAGTTAGCTGACCCATCGCTTACCAAGAACCTCATAAAAGTAGGACCAGATCCTCGTACAGCCGAAATAATCAGGCATAAAGGCGAAAAGATGAGCAAGATGTGGACAATGCAGCCGACGCCGTTGGACTGGTTGCGAAATGTACGTTCATTGCCCAAAGGCTGTTTTACACATTTCGTTTTCAAGTATCAAGTTAGTTTTAATCACCTTTGTGAAAGAGTACTTGTCCTCAATATTGCAATGATAACATTTCAACTGATTCTAAGCCAAGAAATAGTGGGCACTTTTGCGTGCAGACAGGGCTCGGCACCAGTCGGTTTCTAGGGTTTCTGAAAACGAAGTCTCCCCTGACTTTCAGAAGTTTCACGAAGTCCCCTCTGACTTAGCTGCTTAGGGGAAGATGAAAATAAAAAAGATTTACTAGTCTTGAACAAAAAATGTAAGATAAGAGTGAAAATACAAATTGGAGCTGATTGTGGCGCGATTTCTAACAAAGTCATTTATGAAGAAATAAAGGCAAAAAAACAAAGGAAAGGCAATGATATAAAAATGTTTTCATGCTCAGGGATAGATTTTTGACCGGGGAATCCGTCCATATTAGAAAAATTCGAAACTTATGTGAAGTGACAGAAATATATGCTCCAGACGATCTCAGATCGTCTGGTGGCCGTCTGGAGACAATCTAATTTTGGAAAGGTATTACTTCACATAAGTTTTCAAATCCTTTTACATAATACTTTCGCAAATAATTTTCTATACATATAGTTCAATTTTGGTGTCATATGCTTCTGTGTGCGCTGTAAACAAGCAATTTGTTTATTTTAGCCTTGCTTTCAAATCGCGCGCACTTCTCACCATGCACGATAGAGCATGTCAATCTTGTGATAACCTATCCAACTGTGTTCGACTAAATGGCACTCATCCTTGGTGCTTGGCCTCGACTAGTCAAAAACGATACCTCCTTTGCTTTTTCCTCCAAAAATGAAGTCCAGCCTGCTTCCAGACGATCAGTGCTGGGCCCTGGGTGCAGAACGACCAGAACAACGCAAAAATATCAGTTATTAAAGTACTACTAACATTTGCTGTTTCCTCATGGCTGAATGATGATGAGATGTCATAGTAATTCTGAAACCGATGTCAGTCAACTCATAGTTTTAGGAGCATGTACTCATTAGGGTGTTCCATGTAAATGTGTCTGTTTCAACACTAACTACTTGAATCACATTTTTTCACCCTTGGGCAAACTTTTGAAAATCGCATCTCAATTCTCTGACTTTTTTCCCACAAAAATTATAATTTTCTTCGTCATTGAGGTGGTGCCCGGACATTTTTGCGAAAACACATATTGAGTTGTGCGAAAATCATTAAACAAAAAAGACTTGGAAGACCAATGATAGTGTGGGAGGGAGGGGGGTCTCATCTGTATCTTCCGCTCAGCAAAAGCTGAATTTTAGTAAAGGAGTTCAAAAATCGAATTTCTATGGTTTGTCTGAAGCTTTAATTGTTGCACTTTCAGATTGTGCCCATTCTGTCGTCACAGTTTGCTTTTCAATGTGAGAGTAAGTGAGATGTTCTGCTTCAACAAATAATGCACCGCTTTATACCGTTTGATTTGACAAAGCTACTATTTAAGAAGTGATTTCTGACGATACTCTGATGCAAGAACTCAAAAGCATGAAATTCGATGCCGGCATAGCTGAGACCTTTACAATATGCGGATTTGGTAAATTACCTATTTTATCATCTTTCAACTACGAAATCGCATTTTTCCAACTTTAGGCATCTTTGAAGTGCTCAACCTTCCTGCTACTATAGCGACGTTTTCTCGTGTTCATTCGGACTATGTAAGATCTGCAATCGGCGAGCCCTCGGGCGTCAGTTATGTGCCTGGAATGTGCTAAATGGTTAGAAAGCTTCTTATGACTTATAAATGGCTGTCTTTAGGAGAACTTGCTGTAGAAGGCGATCAGATGAACATGTTTGATCGTCTCAAAAACGTAATCGATACGCAGATTAGTAAAATGTTCTTGCAACAGATGTATGAGAAAGGCATTAGTGTATTTCGTGCCAAATTTGGGCAGCAGTTCAAGGGATACGACGTTAGGTTATAGAAATTATGTTCAGCGGAAATTTCTGTTTATTTGAATTAATTTAGGAACTTCTGACTCAAGCTTCTTACGTGCTGACAAACTCCAACCCTTACATCGACTTTCCACGTCCGATGCTTCATAAAACAGTGCCAATTGGAGGTATCACAATATCACTGGATAGGAAAAAGACTGCTTTAAACGAGGTTGTATAGTTTACCATTCAAGGCTTTAACCAAGAAGCTTGCAGACTTGGAATACAATCTTGAGCGAACGCAGGTACACTGTGCTAATTTCGTTTGGAACAGTCTCGAAAGCAGCGTTTATGCCCGAAAAGTACAAGTATGTCCTCATTTCTGTAATCGCAGAAGGAGGAGAGAGGGATTGAAATTGATCTTGTACTGCTTTGCGTATGCGACAGCTCTTACATATGTTATCAGAACAAAACACCGTTTTCTTCTCTCATTTGCTTTGAATGATTGCCTACGGCTCCTGATTGTGGACTGGCGTAACAGCTTTGAGTACTTGATGACAAAAGCTTTGATACTTCTTGAACTCTCGGTTTCTTAGTGCATTCGTGGAAGTGCTAAAGGAATCATTTTCCCTTTATTGACGTTGTCGATGACGTTATCTCGACGTAATCGCAGAAAACAGGTCCATTCCAGTTGACATGAAATTCGCAGTTGTGTCTGAACTTCGCCGCTACATCTCCATTCCGTGAGAGTGAAAACTTTGCACGAATAAGGCGATGGTCTGATTCCTCGCCTTCAATACAGCTACGCGCGTCAGGCATACCTTCTGTTGACAATTATGTGGTCGATCTTATTCTACATCAGCGCGGTTTCCAGATCCGATGTCTGGCAGCTTTCTGAAATGTTGAGTTTCTTTGGATACTAAGCATTACAAAAACATGGACATTTTCGGTTAGTTATTCTACTGTAGTTTAGGAGTTCTAGAGCGAATCTGCTACCTTCGAGCTTCGCTTTCGAGTTGAAGTCAGCACGAGCTGAAGATGTGCTCTTTGATGTTAAACTACTCCAAGTCCACCTAAAAGACCTCGTCCTCGTTTTTCTAGCACAGTGTTGGGCGTATGCAATGAACATCGTCAAGGCTAAATTGATCTACTGATAGTCCTTGAGTCCGCTTTAGGTTGTGTTGTTCAAAATCGATGTCCATGGCTGAACTAATGATGAAGAGAACTGTCCATCTCTAGACTTGTTCTAGGACTTTCTACTGCCAACTCCCTTTGTCGTATGTTTCTATGAACCTCTTCTTCCGAAAGATCTTACTTATTCTTTCTTGCTTGAAACTGACAATGAGATCTCCAATGGATGCGTTCGATGCGAGCGTTTACACGTTGCAAATATAGATCGTCAGAAGCTTCGTTTTTTATCATTTCTCTCAAAAGAAGGCTTTGGGATCTAACCTCCTATGAGGAACAATGGAGCTTATCTATGGAAATCACATGACTCAAAAATCTGTGGCCGTATTCATCATTGATACCTTGAGGTAAGTTCTACCTCCAGGTAGTTTTATCACTCATTATCAGCAAAATTACATTGAGAATTTACCTCAAGGTACTTTGTGAATACGGGTACTTGCTGATAATGAGTGATAAAACTACCTGGAGGTAGAATTCACCCCAAGGTATCAATGATGAATACGGCCACTGGTTGCAACTCCCAGGAAAGGCAATGTACTGTTTTCAAGTTCCAGGCTGGGCTCATACTCCCATGTTGTGAAACTGCTCCTGCACAGTTCACGCACAGTTCTTGCACTGTGCTGGGACTGTTCCGGAACTGTGCTGCATGCGTTGCAGCCGCCCCGCAAAACAGCGGTTGGAGATTTTTAGCCGTTCTCAACGGTTTTTCTTTCAGATTTCTCTTATTTTGGCCTTATTCCTCCACCTCGCTCCCTTTTTGATCAGCCGAACTTCGAACTCAAAGCGGGATTGAAGAATGAGCGCTTTTCTGCTCTGTGTATACAAGACGTGTGTTCTTGTGCTCGTCCATTTTCTCTTCGCTGTTTTTGTTCAGACCTACTTCATGTGTTCTAGGAAGGCGCTGCGTAGTCTCGCATTTGTATTGAAATTGACATAGACAGGTCTTTAGAACACATGAAGTAGGCCTGAACAACAAAAATGGCAGAGAAGATGGACAAGCGCACAAAGGTTCATCTTCCCGTGCACATGAAGCAGAATGGCGTTCAATCCTCAACCCCGCTTCTTCGCAGCTTTTCTAATGACAGGTCTTTAGAACACAAAGGAAAGGGGTAATGAAAAGGAGAAGCAGATATGGAAAAAGGAAAGGGGTAGAGAATGCCCAAAAACGAAACTCATCAGAAAACAAGAGAAAAGTCCCAATTCATGCAATTTCAGAACTGCTCCCTCCCTAATTTGTGGCATATGGCTATGGAAACTACGCAGCGGCTTCCTGGAACAAATGAAGTAATTTTGAGCAAAAATAGCGAAGAGAGAATGGACGAGACAAAAACACACGTTTTGTCGCATACATAGAGCAAAAAAGCGCTCATTCTTCAACCCCGCTTCGAGTTCGAAATTTTGCTGATCAAAAAGGGAAGCCGGTAGAGGAATAACGCCCAAATGCGAGAAATCTCGATTACAAACCGTAAAATGGTCAAAATTCTCCAACTCCCGCCTTTCAAAACGGTGCGAGCGGCTGCAGCGCATGCAGCACAGTTCTCACTTCCAGCACAGTGCGAGAATTGTGCGGGAACTGTGCGGGAACAGTTCCAGAACATGGGAATCAGTATGAACCCAGCCTCGAACGGGTGCGGAGTCAATTTGTCCTCATGGTCCTTTGCAGAGCGGGTGCGGAGTCGCTACGGGGTTTGAAAACCCTAAAAGATAGTTAATTATGCGAAGAGCACGGCGAAATATCGACAATTCATCCAAAAATTTGGTAGTGAGTGATACTATGGACGTTTCTTTCAGTGTTTGATTTCACTCTTTCAAACGTCTGCTAGTTTCTTGGAAAAAGGTATGGCTTTGAATAAAAAGTAATCAAATGTAGTCGCGCTTTTTGTATTGAGGAACGACTCCATAGCTTTGCACTTGCTCTAGTTTCGAACTAAGAAGAAAGATTGATCGCGAAGGGTTTTAGTATATAAACTTGTAGAATGGCCACAGTTATGCAACAGTTCTATCGACCTAAAATGATTTATTATCGCATGCGATTTGCTTCAGGGCGCTTAGCTTCTCACATCAATGGAAAACAACTAAGAATAGTCATGCATTTCAATTTAGGAAAGGCCTTTTGGAAGTCTTCAAAAGCATGCAGGACACGACATTTTTGTGGAAATACGAGGGTACAGAAATCGATCTTGCGAACATTCCAAACGTCTACCTTAATACATGGTTCCCTCAATATGCTTTATTGAGTAAGTTTTCTTTTCATGAAGGCTATGAGAAACAAAATTGCCCGGCGATGCTCCGTGCCCTGCACAAAAATATACGCGAATGCTTGTCGTTTGAAGCTTGAAGTTTACGTGTTTCTCAAATAACTATCACTATTGCTGTTCCTTAATGATGCAGGACATAAATTAGTTGAAAGCAAGTTCAAAAATCAAACGCTTCAATCTCCTAACGTTGAAAAATAGAGCTCAAAGCGGAATCAAGTTCAGCACAATCTGTACATTGATATATGTGTATTAGAGCGTGAATAATCATTCCAACTGTAAGTGCGGGCTAGTTCTGTAAAACTGGTGATTGATAAGAATCCTGATGTACCTAAGACATTGCAAAAAATAATACATCTTGTTACCCAACGGCACAATGCTCGCAGTGGTTTCGTGGACTGCGCTTTGACCGTGTTCAAATCCAAAGTTCAATGGCCGATTGAATTCGTACTAGCAATGTTTATGACATCATACGATCAGATCTACTGATGGAATCTTCCACGTAAACAATTCGGCGCCTACTAAACTTTTGAAGGTAGGAGCACTTGAAACGAATCTTCATCAATTTGGTGTAAAAGATTTCATCATAAAATTGAATAATGTCTCAAGTAAAACCTAGTTTTTGCTTGTTCAATTTGATCCAAAAGTAAAATGCAGACACTTAACCCGGGTTTTTTTGGCACAGTTTAGCTTCAAAGTGAAATGATGATTTACTGATCAACATACATCGTGTCGGTTCAAAGATATCTATCTCATTCTCAACTGTTCCTTCCTGTTCTTCATTATCTCTTCCGACATTATTGACCTCTTACACATCATTTCTTGTTATTCGGTACCTCATTCGCATATGAGTTTCCTTTGATATCATTTCTGATAGATCATCTGTTCTATCAAAGTTGTGCTAAGTCGGGTAATCTGCGCATATATCCACGTTACGGCACTACATAATAAGGTGCACAAACTGTCTGCTAAACAACTGCTGTAGCATCAATTTAATTCCAAAATAACTAACTTCAGGTGATAACCGCTTGACGGCCTTTATAACCCATGCTGGATTAGGAAGCGTGACCGAGGCTGCATTTTTGGGGAAACCAACCATCTTTGTAAGTTTGTCATTCTTGGAATTTTTGTAATAAAAAGCTGATACAAATTTTGGTAGATTCCCGTTTTCTCGGACCAGGCGCGGAATGCAAAGATGATGGTCAGACATAGGGGAGGAATATTGATGAGCAAGTTCGATTTAGAACATCCAAGCAAGCTGAGGGAAAACTTGCGCTTGATAATCAACGATCCAAGGTACTATTACATCATTCAAAAAACGTAGAAACCTATAATAACTTCAAAAGCTGCCATCTAATTTCTGCAGGACTGAATGATATGAATAACTCAAGACCAGTTCCTGGAGAAAAGCGAACAACTAAGGGCCAATGTAAAAGCAACAATAAATCTGCTCCAGTTTAGTGAAGTTACTTAGAACTAGCATGCGAGTAGTTTCATTTACAAAGGTTGTTGTTGTTGTTTAATGCTCGTTCTACATCGTATAATTTCGTAAAAAAACCTCTAGTCCAGCGATGAGTAGGAAATTGAAAGCATCTGCTAAGCTTTATCAGAATTTTCCAATTGTCAGATGTCGAATGTCATTGTTGGATTTCGGATTTAACAGCAAATGGGCAGATGCGCAAGTTAAATTTGTATTTGAGTTGTATATCCTTTGGGTTTTCAAGCAAAGAAGCGCGTGGCTGAAGCTAATTTATTCGGTTACCCGCAAAATTTACTATTGAAGTAGGAACATGATTAGACCGTACTTACCGCACAATACTCTTAACAAACCATAGCTTCGAAGGTTAATCGATGAGGTTCAGCTGATTTCAGTTTCAGTCCAAATTCACAAAACGTTCTGAGTTTTCAGCAACTTTACATCACAATTTTCTGTGTACTGGTTTTGTGCTGTTCTGTTAGGTACTGTGACAGTATTCCAGTCAATTCAAGCAGATTTTTTGAGTTATGCGGAAAATGCCAAACGTTTGTCGGATTTGCTTTTGAATCAACCTTTCACTGCGAAGGAACTTGCTGTCAAACACTGTGAATTCGCTGCAAGGTGAGACAAGAAAAAACTAATTTGTTCCTTATTTCCAAATTCAAAAATCTACTCCCAGCCTACAACGAAGGCTGTAGCATTTCAGATTTGGACGCACAACAAATCTTGATGCTTATGGTCGTCACTTATCCTTTGTACAATACTATCTTATTGATGTCTTTTCGATAATTGGATTGATTTTGAGTGTTGTTCTGTTCCTTACTTTCAAAATAGTGAACACGCTGCTTTTAAACACACAAAAAACGAAGTAGGAGTAGAAGTTATTTGCATTTATTAGTTTTGCTCCTAGTTTGCGATAGAATGTCTGTTTCGGCTGTAAGACTTAGAAATACATAAATTGGCTCGCTATCTCACGCATTATTTACATCGAGAGACTGAATCAGAAAAGGCTATCCGGTGTGCAAATTTTCGATTTTCTGCGTTCCTTCTTTCAAGAGATTGATCGCATTAACTGCGGAAATCAATAGCAGGAGCAGAAATATTCATTCTTATGGTAAAATCATGTGTCTCCGCTGATTAATATATCAACATCCAATCCACAGTTTTTCCAAACTGTGGCTCTTGAAATAATTGCAAATTTTGTTGTGATACAAACTATTCTTGGAATACGCGCTTCTCTACGGCGTAGTGGTTCCACTACCTGCGTCTCCTGCGGCTCCGTGGACGAACTCAGCACCCCGAAGGCTCGTTCACCGTGCATTACAACTCTTGATGGCACTTGCGCTTCTTCACGCCAGGGTACACCTTCTGGCGCGTCAACTCGACACCTCCAAGCGTGCACGTATGCGAGAAAAATTGTCTTCATGCGCTCGTCCATTTTCTCTTTTTTATTTTTGCTCGGACCTAATTCATGGGGTCTAGAAAACCGCCTCTGCGCTTCTCAATATAGAGGAAGTACGCGGTTTCCCGAAACACTACAAGTAGTCTGAAAAAGGTGACGTAAAGATAAAGGACGAGCGCATGAACAGATTTTTCCGTACATGAAGCAGAACGACGCTAATTTTCCAACCCTTAAAAATCGAGGCTTTTTTTCATCAGAGGGCGGAGTACAGGAAGGAGACCAGAACGAATGAAATCCAAATGAAAAATCGTCGAAAGCGGTCAAAAAATCTTCAACTTCGGCTGCACAAAACTGCTTGCGGTCGGCTGCAGCGCATACAGCGCAGTTCCGGCACAGTTCGAGAATTGTGCCGAAATTGTTCCGGAACTTCCGGATCATATGAACCCAGCCATAAGGCGTCCCTTTCTACTATGCCACATACCCTCAATGCTTTTAGTATGGTTGAGTGTAGATCAAGCAAGGAAAGCACACTTTTGGTTGTGCTCTCCGGCATTCTTTTGCAGCAGCAGCTTTAAGATTAACACATTTTGTAAGCAAACAGTATCGATAGCTTTACCGATGAATGTTTATTATTGCGTGAAATTTCACGCAGATTGACCAAAAACACATTCAGATGCTTGAGTCGACGAATGGTGTTTGGTAGATCTCAAACAATGTTATTTTCGAGTTTAGGCACGTTTTCTTTCCTTTTCCTTTCTCATACGAGTAGCAACTGCCGCCACCACGGCTGCACCAATACCGCTACCGTCTTTTGATAGCATTAGTTGGTACTGAAATACGTGGTACAGAACCTCTTATCAATATGCAGTACTGCTGTTGTCGCTGCGACTCACTCGTACTCCTTTACTTATAAGAACATTAATCTTCTCTTCTAGTAGTCGCTTAAAGAAGGGGTGAAAACGATAAACAGATCCATCAATGCCGACAGTAACTTTGTAAGGACGATTCATTCGATTGAGCACTTGTGAGATGCCTGCTGCTGTCAGGTAAGCAGCTCTGAAATAATGTTGCTTGTTTATTTGTTTCATCCGTACACCTCACGATAAAAGATATTCCAAAATGCCCTGTCTCTAAAAGATTTATGTCAGTTGAAAGGTCGTGGTATGCTGTTTACAAAATGGTTTCCATGTCTGCTAAGCGGTTCATGAGCATTTTTGTTTATGTTACACTAATTTTGATAGCTTGCTGTAAAGCCTAACTATCAAAGTTGTTGCTGTAGTTGTTAGGCTTTTCTCTATAATTTTCCTCCACTTTAAGAAAACAGACATTTGAGATCATTCTGCAACTTACTATGAGAAAGCTTACTTGTTTACAGCTTAGATAAGGTTATAGGAAGGTGCAAGTTCTGGAAACCGAACTGCAAATTTGGTAAAGTGCAATGATTGCCGACAAGCATGAGAATGATTGGAATTTCGATCTCCTCCAATGACTTTGCTTTGCAAGATAGCATTTCGAGGTTTCCTATTGGTTAATTCGTGGTTTCGTTGGGAAAATGATGTGAAGCTGCTGGTTAGCTGGTGTCATGAAAACACAGTTAACATGATGATTTCGACCACATTGCTACCACTCCTGCAAATTTGTTCCATAAACCATTTAGTAGACAGGGAAGGTCGTTTTGTAATCATCGCATTAACATTTCTCGGTTGATGTACATTCGCCAACATTGTAACGCAAAATTGATTTTCTTATCGCAAAAAAATTCAATACCTTGTGCTGACCATGGTGCACGCATATGCAACGCTTTGACAGTCTTCATCAGTTATGTCTTTTATGCCAATTTCGGTCAAAATTTCACGAGTTTTCGCGCAGTGCTTTGCTTTTGCGACGTCCTCCATTTCTCTGAACAAGGCTTCTGATGATGGTTCAAAGAACATGCTTTGAAAACGAAAAATATTACGTCTCGATGTCAGACACATATTTTGTTGGGAAACACTCGCGCTTAGAAATGGCATCAACTTGTCCTTTGAAGATTAGTTTTTCTCTAGCCAGCTCTTCTAAGAGAATACGGACCAACTCGCCCATGTACATACCAGAAATCATCTTTTCGAAGCTGGAATTCAAAAACTGGCATCTATAAAAAGAACGTCTCTTTAAAACAGAGGTAGTGCTAGAAAGGTCGTGTGTTTTGGAGCAGCGGTTTGCCGCGACAAAATAGAGGCAAATTCAAGAAGTATAACGAACTCTAGCTATGCATTCAGATCTACAGTTGTAGGAGCCTGCGAATCAAACCATGGAACACCTATAAGTTGTGTAAACCTATGAAAAATTTTTTCCGCAAAATTTTGGTAATCGAAAAAATGATCATGTTTCTCAAAGGCTGCGCATCGTTTAAAGTCAGCTTCCAGCAGATTTTGACGCATGGGAATATCACGTGGGAACTAATTTTGGGGGCCTAAAAGGCATAGCCAGACGTCGGCGCATATAATGTTCGCCTCCAAAATGGACTCCAGTATCCTTTAACAAACGACGCATCGGGTTTGCTTTCGCGCGAGGACGCACGTGAAGCTGATGGATCGTCACATGCAAGCATACGAACATGACACAATAACCCGTTTATACGATACAGGGGTCTGGTTTGGGATGAATAACTGGGAGTGCAAAATCTGAATGCTGCCTTAATCTTAGGCCGTGCCTAAGTTGAAGCCTCAAAATCAAAAGCGTCAAAAAATTCAAATTCTTACGTGAGATCCAATATAGGGCTTATCATACGCAGTATCGCTTGCATCAGCATCTCCACTCCGGCGCTAGACTCTGCATCTCTTCCGCGAACATGCTCTCTGATCATTTTCCCAGGGCGAGCGTGGGAAAGGCGGAGCCTCAATTGATTGGAAGGATCAGAGAACATGTTCACGGATGATACGCAGAGTCCAACATTGGAGATGCTGATGCAAACGGCACTGCGTTTTATAAGCCATGTATAACCAGATTTGCCTGGAAGCTGCCTTTGAAATTCTTAGCGTATTGCATCCCTAATTTCCCAGTAAACACAATTTTTTCAATTCTCTGTTCAAATTGAAAACATAAGAAGTACTCCAAAGTTTTGCGTACGCATGGATAGAAAAAGGGTGAAAGATGCACGGGTTATCACACCATCAACTATCATCCCTTGTGCTCGCCTTCCGACTTCGATCTCAATTATAAATCTTTGCAGAGGTGATGCATTGCTACATTTAACACCATCCGCATGTCGCACCGCAACTGCAGCAGATCTTTGCGCTATGTCGCCATGCATGCAGAGGATATCATGTATATAGCGGCTGCATGATCGTGAGAGTCGGACGTGCGTACGGCCACTGCGCCGCGCACGTCCGATGTCCGTCCCACCAGGTAGGTGCCAGACTTACCCTGTTCAACAGGTTCACCTTCGGCGCTATTCCACAATACGCAACCCAAAAATGAAAAACCTCGGATTTTGCTAAAACTTTGCATACAGGAATTATTTGACATGCTAATCGCGAAAATAATATTCATTTTGCATAAAAGGACCATTTTCATAGGGTTACAGTAGGTGTACGGTAGGGGGTCAGAATCGTAGATTTGGCTGAAACTTGGTCTAGGGGGGTTATTCGACACGCTAATCATGAATATCACATCCGTTTTTCAAAATGGCGTCATATGGTGGGGTTACGGTAGGTATACGGTGTGGGGTCAAAATCATGGATTCGCCTGAAATTTAGTTTAGAGGGGTTATTCGAACCGCTGATCATAAATATGATGTTTATTTCGTGCGACAACGCCATCCGGTGGAGTTACGTAGGATTACGATAGGGAGTCAAAATCACAAATCGGCAAATGTATCTTTCCACTGTAATTTGCTTAGGCAAAAGCCGCAGCAGGGTGTGTAGCGCGCAGAGGTGGTCGTGTGTGCAAAGTTTCACGATCGTCGGAATCGCCATACATCCGTTTTAGGCAGAGCTACGTTCTACACCGGTTACCGTGTAGCTACCGTAACCCGAGAAAATGACGCTACTATTCAAAACCAATGTGATATTTGGCGTCAGCGGGCCGAATAACCCCTCTGGGCCAAGTTTCGGGCGAATTTGAGACTTTGAACCCCATACCGTATACCTACGTAACCCCACCATATGACGCCATTTTGAAAAACGGATGTGATATTCATGATCAGCGTGTCGAATAACCCCCCTAGACCAAGTTTCAGCCAAATCTATGATTTTGACCCCCTACCGTACACCTACCGTAACCCTACGAAAATGGTCTTTTTATGCAAAATGAAAATCATTTTCGTGATTAGCATGTCAAATAACCCCTGTATGCAAAGTTTTAGCGAAATCCGAGATTTTTCATTTTTGGGTTGCGTATTGTGGAATAGTACCCACCCTTCTGCTATTGGCTTTGATTGGCAGTGCATTGATTTGACCAATAGCGAATGAGTGAACCTGACAAACTGGTTGAATAGGATAAGTCTGGCACCTGCCTCAGTGATATCGGACGTGCGTGGCGCAATGGCCGTACGCACGTCCGACTCTCGCGATCATGCAGGCTCCTATATATCATATAGTGCATAGGCTAACATATGTACGCCTGGATTGACGCTCTTCTGATCAATTTCTCTGTCGTACTTTGTCTGTAAGAACTCAAGACATCCATCATCACCGAATGCACCCCATTCCATATTGATAATGACCTAAAGAAAAAAAAATTTTTTTGCCATTGGTTTGTGCTTATAATCCTACATCATCAGGATAACCATCATTTTCCCATTGTCCCTTCATCTTGGGAATATTTTGGAGCTTTTCCATGTAACACGCATTCGTTCCTGTTCCAAGAATAACACCCATCTAGAAGTAATTTATCTCACATTCTCGCTCGAATTTGAAGTAACGCTGCTAACCTGACAAGTATTTTCTTTAAAAGCACATGCCATCAAAGTGCCGACGGTATCATTCAAGATAGCACTAACGTCTACGTTGACATTCTAAAAACTGCAGTTGTTTTGAATGTGAAAATGATTTGAGCATCGTTCACTCACTGAGCGCTTTCTGCAAGCTTCTTTAAGCAATGCAACAACATCTTTTCCTTCCACACCGGTTGCCGTGAATCCTTTTGACCAATGTATCAATACCCCCCTTGAAAGAAAGTTTGAAATATCAATGATTTATTTGTTAGCATGCCACAGTTGAGGCTGTCTGTTTTCTTGCATGTGAATCTATTTGAGTGTATGTCTGCACAATAATGAGTGAGTCATAGCGAAGGTTTTAAACCTACAACTCCTTCGACTTCGGTAGGCAATGTCCGAAAGAAAATTAACCTCTTTTTTGCTCATGGGCTTATTCGCTATGGTGGATCCAAAAATATGACTAAGGAACACAAAAACGTAAGTACACTTTTTATTCAGAGCCTCTTTGATGTGATGGACCAGTGGAACACTGTTCTCGAAGGCGTTGACGCATAATCGCTGTGGGGCATTTAATCTCGCTTGTCACTCCACCTGAGAAAAAGAAAACAAGTGGTGAAGTTGTCGCCGTGCAGATGGGCTCGTCAAATAAAGCCATGACTTCTTTGCAAAATGTCGAGATACAGACCCAGGATTGCCAGCGAGAAGCCATGTCCAATTTCAATGTTACTTTTTACGTGACGTGATTTGGTGCGGCCGTCCAGGCTTACAACATGTTTCGAGTACATCGTTTAGACGTGACGTGGCGCCAAAACAACGCGGCGCGGACTTTCCCAAGTTGATCTTGTTGCCTCGCTATGCCAAACGATATGCCCGTGCGCGGCGCAAGTCCGAGGCGGCAGCCGCACCAAACTACGTCATATTGAGAAGTATTTTAGAAATTGGCGAGGGTAGATTCATTTTACGAATCGTATGATCCCCGTATCGAGCCCGTTCGTGTACTGCTAAACCTACATGCAGGCAGCCTATGTTCCGCAAATTTTGTGGTTGAAGATTCACACTGTAAGGCCTAAGACATACCTCCATTTCCAGTCGCTGCGCGTTCTGACACTGCAACGTTCCCTTAAAATTAACCGTAAGCGCGCTTTTCTCAGACCAGACTTGGTGCGTTTGCGACAACTTCAGAAGTTACGCGCTTATGCGTTTGAGACCCGCGTTGATCCGTAGGCATTGGCAGACTGCCAAGTTGCGTGCGTATAGCGATTTGATGAAATCGCGGGGAGTATGCCTTAAGCCTGATTTGTGAATTCTTGGATGGACTCACTCCACACACGTAAACGTCGATTAGAGCTTAGTCCGTTGTGGTCGTAAATTTAGACTCACAGTTCTGCTTCATTAATTATTTCTAATTTACTACTTAACTTTCAACTAACTTACTTTGTAAGACCTTCGATACTACAGGGAAACGAAAAAGTGAAGCCCAAATTAAAGGTCTTTCTGCGATCTTGCTCTTGAACTTGGTCCTTTATGAAATCTTCAATGCATTTGGCGATGTGGTCAAACAGCTGCAAAAGATTTCAAAGAAAATTTGAGTTTTTTTTTCATGTAGAAGTTCGTTTAAAAAGCGCGTTATCTTTATCACTTTGTACATGTACCGCTAACATTTTTGTCTCTGCGGCAATTCATAAGACAAAAGTCGCACTTAAATGTATGAACGCTGTTGCATATGATTTCTAAACAATAAGTCTTTTCTTATACTTGCTTGTGTTCGCAAATTAATTGAAAGTCACTCACAGCTGCGCCACTTCCTCTCATGACGGACACAGGAATCTCGTAGACCTTCGTAATCATTTCTGCTTCACGGCCTCTGAGCCGGATTAGCAGGACACGGAAATTCGTACCACCAAGATCCAGGGCCAAAAAATCTCCAAACTCTGTTCCGTTGGGAACAGCGCGGACGTATGAGGGTAGCATTTTCAGGTATTTTCCAGCAGCTGAAATAGTGTGATTGTTTGCAGCCGTATAGTGCTAATTTCAGCGCTAAACAAATCCTGAATGCATATCAAATCTTTGCGGGCTGATCCACCAAAGATTTCTAGAGCGCGTAAATGTCGGAAAAGATTTCTTGGTATTCTAGCTCGCTGTCTCACATGCAGAAGAGGAGGAGAGGTCATTTTTAACAACTTTTACAGGAAGGTTACTGAGTCGGGGTAGAAAAGTGGTGTATAAAATGGTCAGAACCTGAAAGGAACTTAAGTGTGAATCTCTCACATTTAACTAGGGGACGATACCGAATCGCAGTGCGTTCAAAGAATCAATGTATATTGTGTTTTAGGGTTTTTGATGCTAATCTCATATTTGACCTTAGTAATGCTGCGGACCCTTGCTGAGGGAGTTCTAGAGAATCTCATCTGCAGCCTGCATTCTCGCTTTGTATGGAGGAACGGAAGTAGGCAATGTAGCAGCACGGATATTCAGCGGTGACTAACTCTGGTGTGATTCGACGGGCAGTGGGTGTGACCTCTTTCTCCTGTCGCTTTTTGCAATATTGCCTAGTACTCGCAAGCGACTGTGCATAAAACATGTACACACATCGAACCAATCTGTTTTAGCAAGTCTTGCAACTTATTCTTCAAGATTTCGGTTCCCTTTCAGTCACAGAATAGTACAAATCAAGTTTGAAACATTGATAAGTGTGCAGTCTCGGGCATTACATTATCTTTTGGCATTTCAATCATGAATCTCGAATACATTTCAGTTTGATTGAAGTCTTGTCTTTGGAATTTTCTTGCTAGAATAGAGTAGCGAAAGTCTGAAGAAAAAGTTGGAAGGCTTGCTTATACAATTCTAATGTGCTTACTTATTTTAAGATCGTTGATTTATTGGGCGATGTTGCAAAAGAGAATGAAATAATACTCAAATCGCTTTAGTCAAAGCAATTCCTCAAGCGGCTACTCGTGCCGCTGCATTAGCCAGGCATTTCGAAGTTTTTTTGAGATGTTCTCCAGATTTTTGGAAGCCCTGCGTTCCCGGAATTTTGAATATCGAAAGCGTGGCAGCAGCCACACTCCCAAACTATTTTTTCTCACAAAGTCAACCCGGTTTTGAATTTTAGTTGCTTATACGTGAAATTAGTCTTTTGCCTAATTTGACAGTTCATGGGGCATAATTTCAACGGTTCGCGACCCATCCTTGAGGACGGAGACCTTTCATCGCTGGATCACTGCTCGCATTGAGCACAGATGTGCGCTGTAGATGCATATGGGCTAAGAACACTGGTGATGATATGCATGGAATTCTTTTAGTTTTTTTTCACTTTGGAGATGGTCCACTTTCCTTTCAAAACAAGAGCCGCTCTCGCGCCTTGCTCCTTCGCCTCTGTTCCGGCAGCGGGTCTTGAGTAATGTTGTTTTACATGAGCTTGAAATTGAACAAGGAAAGCGAGTGTGATTACTATTGCCGAACGAAAGCCAAAAAGTAGAAGACTTAGGCGCAATAACAGAAGCTTAAACACAAGTTTCAAGGTTACCATACAGAAGGATGTCAAAAGTAGCATTTCAATATTTGCGATTTTGCGTTTGGTGTCAGAAAATGGGGGGGGGGCGCTATTTGGCCTAAGAAATCTCCGAAAATTCACTGCAAAGCAAAAGTCAATACTTCACTGTGGCAGATTTGATCTGGCATTGGAATGCAAAGACAAAAGTTTAGTCAAAATTTAAAAAAAAACCCTGCTACTGCACGTCATCAACAAAACACGAGCGATAGTAAAATTCTTCTCCTTTTTGTTCGCGTTTTTCTGTTTCTGCTTTTTCAGGCAAAAAACAAAGCCTGCCATAAACGCAGGACTATACTATGTATAGTAATTTTACGAATTTTTTTTGTGGTTAGCTGCACCCGTATTTTCCGCTACCAAACCAATATCACAAACTTTGAAGAGCTTTGTTCTCTGAAGTTAGTTAGGCAATGTTGCGAAGTCAAGTGCCTTGAAGGCAGTGTCCGGGCAAGAACTCGATTTTGACATTTTGTGCTTACCCGGGCCTATTCGCTATGCTGAATCCGAAAATCCACATTGAAAAGCGCGAAAACGACGAAAAAGGGCTCTGACGCTGGAGGGAAATCAGCAAGTGGGCGGGGTCTTCCCCACTGTGAATTCTCGCTCCCAGCTTCAGGGGCGATCTTTTTGATTCCGATTTCATGTCATTCGTTTGCACTTGATCGGTAGTGATGTCAGAACGGCTAACGAATTTGAGAAAATTGCTCTGGAAGCTGGAAGCGTGAATTCACAGTGGGGAAGACCCCGCCCACTTGCTGATTTCCGTCCAGTGTTAGAGCCCTTTTTCGTGGTTTTCGCGCTTTCCAATGTGGATTTTCGGATTCAGCACAGCGAATAGGCCCGGGCAAGCAAAAAATCTCAAAATCGAGTTCTTGCCCGGACACTGCCTTTCACGCGCATTTTTTCTTTTTTAGCAAAAATCTTTGATTTCGAGTTTGAGATCTGAAAAGTTACCGAATATCTTTCGAAATATTCATAGGCGTTTGCATCAAATTAGGTATTTTAGAAAAATAATTCTTACGTTGTTCTTCCTGCAGACCTTTCTCCATAGCATTATGCATCAACGCCATCACTTTTTGTAGCTGGTCATTTGTCACCACCAAACATTCGCATACTTTTTTAACCTGGAAGTCCCACTTTTTCCATTGTCTTAGTAATAGCTTCGTGCCTTTTCATTGATCACTGAGCTGTCAAATCCGGCTACCATTCGTGTGTCAGTGAATGACACTAACCATTTAAACATGCTACCGTAGACATCTCCAAGTACTCCTAAACAAGATGTGGTTAAATTTGCTTAAGCTGCGCTTGCATCTCAAAGTCAAAAAACATTTTCTTCACGTATGGGAATCAGTTGACATGCCAACTATCATGACTTATGATAACGGGCTAGGGTGTTTACGTGACTTTGTCTGTGTGTGTGTCTGTGAGTGTGTCTGTTACGAAATTTGTAGAGCATGTTCCAGCCGACCTCCTGGGCTCAAATTTTGCACAGCGCATGGTACAAGCATGAAAATCCAACTTGCAAAAACACGAGCAGATTCGTTGAGTGGATCCCTTAGAAACTGCACCTCAAATGGAACCAATTTGCATTTGGGCCGCAAAATTGGGTCCGTAATTCCACTTTTTGCAGAGTCGTGGACGTTTATGCCAAGTAGATGTGCAAGCCATGAACTTAGACGCAAAAAAGTGATCAAAAGTCCATTACTTTACAAAAACGGCGCCAAAAAGTATTGGTTGCGTAATTGGTCAATTTGCCAAGATTGTACCAGAGCATTTGACGAGATTTTTGTACAAAGATGTAGCTCACAATGACTGCTGTTCTTATTGCAATGTCAAGACCATGGGAAAATCAAAAACCTATAAAAATTTGCGTTTGTTTTCGTGCAAAAAGTCTCACCCACGCGAAGTCACCGATTTAACATAAAAAAGCTTTAAGAATGAGTAGCTGTTTACATTTTGTTCGTGATAATCGGCATTGCTCCGTGAGTTCCAATGCCATCATTATGCGAGAATGAGTAGGGCCTAGATAGCAGAGCCAGTGCGAGCCTCTGCGAAGCAGAGGTGACGCACTGGTGTTGTATACGTAGATACTCAGATGGCCCGCCTTCACGTGGCGTGTGGGCCCAGCACAAGAGTTTCCATTTGTCCCTGTCCCTCGCTTCAGACATCCACGATCTTTTGGCTGTCGTCGGTGGCTGCGGTTGCGTCCACGAGTTCCAGGTGCAATAATCGTATCCAGTTGATTTCTCAGCTGATCCATCCGTTCCACGAACACGTCTGCCCATCTCGTCGGTGGTATTCCTCGGGACGTTTGCCTTCGCGAGGAATCCGCTCAGATGTTCTTAGTGTTCATCTGTCGTCTGTTCTTCTCATGATGTGACCGGCTCATGGTGTTTCGGTCTCAACGTATTCCGCTGGGTCACAAAGACGGGACATTCTTTTCACATCTGTGCTTACCCGGTTCCATTCACTACGCTGAATCCGAAAATCCACAATGGAAAGCGCGAAAACAACAAAGAGGGGCTCTAACGCAGGAGGGACATCAGAAGTGGGCGGGGTCTTCCCCACTGCGGATTCACGCTCTAAGCTTCCGGAGCAATCTTCTCGGTCCCGATTTCAAATCATGCATTTGCACCTGACCTATGGAGATCTCAGGGCGCTAGCGGCATTGAGAAAATCGCTTCAGTAGCTGGGAGCGCGAAAATCACATTGGGGAAGACCCCGCCCACTTCTGATTTCCCTCCTGCTTTAGAGCCCTTTTTTGCCGTTTTCACGCTTTCCAGTGTGGATTTTCGAATTCAGCATGGTGAATAGGCCCGGATAAGCACAAAATCTCAAAATCGACTTTTTGCCCGGACACTGCCTTTAATTCGTTCTCAATGACATCGTCTAAGAAGACGTCTCTAACGCAAGAAGACGTCTCTGTTTAATTCTGTTCCATTATCTTCGCAAAGGGCCTTTTTCGTGGACTGGGACTCCTTCCGACTTATTCGCAATCCGACCTTTTTTCTACTTCGTTAGGCTTCTTCTGCATCGTCTTTGCTTCAGTGTACGGCTTAAGGAAAGAACATGTCATCGGCTTGGGAGTAATTTCCAATCAACTCGTATGTCATCCTCGTACAAAGCCACCGGCTAACTGACGGACGAAGGTGTTCGCCGCGGCCTTCATCAACTAATGAAGGCTACGGTGAACAGCTTCGGCGAAACTGTGTCGCCTCGTTGATTCTCTTCCGGTTGGGCTGGTCAGGGAACAGCTGCGTCGTCGTTGTACAATCCTTGTAGCAGTCAGCCAATATTCACATTAAATTCACTCTTTAATCACTATCGCAGATAAGATGACGTTGTTTGCGTCGCTGTCAAGGATTTTTCGCACTCGACGAAGGCTGGGACGAGGGACAGCCGGTATTAACGGCAGACTTCTATAATTCTCAAACCATACGGATCTGGTCCATGGAGCTGAATCTTGCGAAATCAGCGTGTTGCCGGGATTGCCTCTGTCCTTGATATGAGTGAAGATAATCTTGGTGGAAAGGCTTATACGGCACATTCAGGAAGCAAAGGGTGATGGTTAACAATAAGATCCTTCAGTTTACTCCCTCTCAAAAAAAGATCATTTCTTGTGGTTTCCCAGTTCAGGATTCTCTCTTTTTGAGGTTAGAAGCTGCGACGCGAGAATCTTGCGTAGACGGTGTTCTCCGGCTGGCAGAAATTTAATTCCTGCCGTAGAAATTTTCATGGTTTGTACCGCAGTGCCACTACAGCAGGTAAAATCCGTGGTGGACAACTTTCTTAGCGGAAACAACTTCTTCAGTGGGCGGAAGAGTGTCGACAAGGGCTTTGATGAGCAAAAGATTTCATTGTAAGTTTTTCGCGTAGATTCTATTTTCTTTCAGAAGAAGTCGTTCCCATCTTTGCAAAGAGGTGCTGCCAGCATTGCGTGATATTTGAGAGGTTCTTTCGGCACTTGAGATTTCGTCCTTCGGCTGCTTCCATTAACTTCTCTTGCCTGTACTTTCGAATATCTCCTGCAGGGATGTTCCGCAGCTGGCGTTTGCTACCAGTCGTTCGAGAGTGGGTTGCATTTGGATCCTGCCTGAAACTCTTCAGAGCAATTCCTTGGTGGTTTTCGAAACCCGTTCCAAGTTCTTCTCAGAAGTCACTGAGGCGCACTCTCCACAGGCTCGCAATCCTTTCAAAAGCCTGTCGTAGTCTTACGTTGGTTCCTCCTCGATGGGCCAGTCACAACTTGATATGAGCTCTTCCAGCCTGTTACCGTCATAAACGGCTTCTTTCCTTCTCGCGGCACTGTGACAGACTTTCTTTTCCAGCCTTCGATTGAATCGTATCTTCGCTCGAAGGAGGAGGTGATTGGAACCACTGCAGAATGATGGAACTGCTGAGACATCGAGCGAGTTCCACCTTCGGTTGGTGAGAATGTGGTCGATCTCGGCGTGAGTCGTTCCGTTGGGCAATACCCATGTCCACCGGCGATGTGTTTTCTTCATAAAAATAAAAATTTCCATGGAAAAGTCGTGCGGCGGAGAGAAGCCCAACGAGACTGTTGCCGGTTTCATTTCGTTCGAGAGTGGGTTTCATTTGGATCCTGCCTCAAAACTCTTCGTCTTTAGAGCAACCTCTTTAAGTCAAGATGTGTTCCAAGTCTCTCGAGTAGTTGAGGCACGTTTCTGACGTGTCGTTTTTGTCCGATCCAGAGCGCCCTGAGCAAAATGACATAGGTCTTGTTTCTTCGCATTCCGCAGGCGACAGGTGGGATCGGGATCATATATTGATCACATATCAAATACATGACTCGACGGCGAATGTAGAACTCGGCATCAGTGTATGTAGTTCTTATATAAGTATGTTTGTTATAGCGTTAGACGACAAAACGTGCAAAGCGGAAGTAGCGTGAAGTCCGCAATTCACAACTATGCCCCATTTCTTGAATAGCATCAAGTATGTGTCGGCCCTAACTTCCACCTCTGTTTTTGCCGTCGAAGACGCTTTGCCCAGGGAGTTTTTTTAAGATAGAAATGGGGTTTGTCCCATAATGCTTTACAGCCCCGCGGAAGCTTTGCAGTAGCAATCTAAACGGTGACAAAGCTCATTTGATCACGGTCAGCAGGATGCGACAATCTGAAGCAAGGGTTTACAAAGTTCTGTACTGAGGAAAATGGGGCGGAATGTGTACAGAAGCATAGAGATTAGAGGATGCCAAGGGCGAACACGAGTGAGAAGACGAATCTGCATCAATAAGGTGAATTCGGCTCGAATCCCCGCAGCCAGAATACCACAGCATGTACCCCGAAGAGGGGTCAGGGTCCTAGCTAGTTTCGAAAAAGTCCTTGAAGCCAAAGATTACTGCAGATATCGACTGTGGTCAGAAGGAGTTATCGACCGTTCCCATAGACGAGACAAAAGAAAATGAAGATGGAGCTACTCTTTGGTTTAGCACGGGCAATGATACTTTACTCAAGTTCAGTTCAGAGTGATGCTTGATGAGATTGGTGATTGGAAGGCGTTAGAACTCTCATAAGAGCATCTTTGAACAAACGAAGTTATCATCCGTTCGTTCACTGTTGGGAAGAATTGAAGTGAAGGGTCGCTAATTCCAGTTAGATTCTATGGGTTTTAAGCCGCACATTTACAAGCGACAAAGCAAGATAACAGCATGAACCCGGTCTCGCTTTGTCGAAAGACCAATCGGAGAAGAACTTCGGATTTTGAGGCGGCTCCTGCGCAATCCGATCTGACATAGTGCGCACTTTCTAGAGTCTCACCTGCTGGCATTGTTGTGGTGTGACTGCAAATTAGTGCTTCCTAATAACGGCGACCAGCTAGTGTGGTAGTAAGTAACAGAATGATTTTCGACCTCACTGTGCCCAGCAAGAATATTAGCTCACGCAATTCAAAACTGTTTGTTATTGTTTCATTAAAAAAACATTTTTCGATGAAATGCTATTATGCGCGTGTGGGTGCGAAGTTGGGGATACGGATCAAAAGAGTTTGGTGGTAAGCTAACAATAAGTTGCACCTTCGATGATATAAAGATGCGACTGGCAAATCAAGCATAAAGCATAGCATATAGCATTTCTGTAAAGGCTAGTGCATGACGAAGGCGCAAAAGCAGTATTGGTCGAGCGTACGCGAATGCGACGCGTGTGTATCCTCACCGTTATAAAACCTGCGCCTCATGCTCTCTGCGGCTAACAAAGCCGCGTTCGTGCCCGAAGACAGTGAGTCTTTGTCATGCAGCAGCCTATACGCAAAGAATTTGGACTTCGTTGTAAAGCAATTTATCCAGGCAATTTCAGCGACCGATTTTAATCAAAATTATCAATAACTTTTCCATCTACCCGATGATCAAATGGGGGATGTCCTGCGCAAAATTGTATACAAACTGCTCAAGAATCTGATCATGGCTTTATATCTTCTTGAATTCAAGTCGTGGAAGAAATCACATCAAGGTGTTGGATACGTTGGATCGAATCTAATAATCAGGAGCTGCCGATTTTTAACTCTAATTAACTTCTCAATCTTCAAGTAATACTTGCAATTCGACTAATTGATGAGCATCTTATTCATTTAACTAATATTGTTCAAATATTTGTAGGCAAGAAGTCACTGGAAGCTGGAGCCAAAAAGCTATGACGATTCAGGTTTTTCTCGAGATATTCAGAAAGGAGAGCATGAATGAACATACATTTGGTAAAAAATAAAGTGTTCTGTTGGAACAGCAGCGATGGTGAAGGCTGGTAATTGGCCCCAAGAGTTTCAAATGTTTCAGGGAAGATCGTATGATGGTATTTGGGTTGTGTAAGCAATAAGATATTGAATACAGAGTGACTTTTTCCGTTACGTTGACCAGATGTCTATTGTGCCAGCATTTCAGTGGAATCTACAAGTATGATACTATAAAATGTGTTTCAAAAAGCGATGTTTTCCTCCAGCCTCATACCAATATATTCAAAAATAATCCTTACAAACACTATAAAGTTTATGCTAAGAACCGAGTTATCTGGAAAATAAGAGAGCAGAGGCCGTATTCATCATTGCTACCTAGGGCAAAATGAACCTTGAGGTAGATTATACCTCAAGGTACACTCTACCTTGAGGCTGTTTCGTATTTATCAAAGTACTTTAAGGTTAATTACACCTCAGCTTGCATGATGTGCGGTGTTGCCCATTCAAGGCATGCAATACGGTGTGTAAAAACTCCCTTCTTGTTAATCTCTCTTTTCTACTTTCGTTCTGTGGGTATATATACTTTAGGACCGTTTGCACGTAATGCTCGCTTTGCGTATGTTGCGCCGCTTGAGGAGCGGACGAGAAAAACAAAGAGAGCCACTAGGTAATCACAGCTTGACAATCTTGAAAGAGATATTGATGTCGTTTTTAGTAAATTACCCTAAAGATCATACATCTTTGACGCCATAATGTGTGTTTTTCTAACAACAAGTTGTCTGTAAGAATGGGATCTGTCTCCGAAGAAGCGCTTGTAATTAGAATTATCCGAAATGTTTCAACCTCAAGCGCCAGCCGCTAGCTGCCTCAATGATAATAAACGGGAAGCGGAGCCCAGCATGAGGGGGGCAAATGGGCATTCATGAAACAAGTTAGCCTTTGCCACTATTCCACAATTTCCCCTTGATCCCTCCAGCTGTGTAGGTTGTTCGATTGGAGCGCGCTTTCTTCCTCAAACGCACCAGCGTCGTTGGTATTCCGAATCCTAACAAGGTAGTAACCTTTGAAATTTGCCAGGTAGTACATTAGACTCCGTGCCGAATTTTCTTCTGGTCAGCTCGATTACCAAGTCAACATGATACGCGATGATATGACTTGGGCGCACAAGTAGGGTTGCTTGAAAGGATTCTTAAGCTGCATGCGCGTGAGTGAGACAATGCTAATCATGCACTCCGAAAAAATATTTGGAATGTTTCCCTAAAATATTTGCGGTCTTTTTGCGGTCTTCCGCCGAAAATATCCTTTCACATGACTGACTTGAAATGTACCAAAAAAAATTCGAAAAATAATGGAATTACTTACAAGTGTGAACAACTCACTTGCAAATTCTCACAACTCATGCAAGTAAGGTTTAAAAATTTTCAGTACTCCTCCCCTCCATTGGGCCACTGTCTATTGTACGGTATCAAAATCACAGAGACGACTGTAACTGCCCCAGGGGTTAATGGTATGCCACGAAAAAAATGTCAGTTTCATAAAGTTGAAATTTTTTGAACGTGAGATGGCTCAAAAATTCAAAGTTGCTAAAAAATTTGTTAAGGGGTTTTTTCCAGTTTGCTAATCACAAATGTGATTCCAGGAGCTCTCCAATCTCGTAATCCTTGCTGGAAAGTTTTATCGAAACAATATACCGGATTCTTGGATGGTGTTCTGACTTAATAGAGCTGTATCTTAGCTAAAAGAGAAGTATGAATAAGAGTAAGAAAATATAATATTTGGAGAAACCTAGGTAATTGCTAAAGGGGCCTGCAGGAATGCGACAGTCAAACGTGGCCGCACGCACGCCCGACTCTCGCGATTCTGCAGGCCCCTATACAAACTGAGTGCGAAGCTACGTGAACGCTTTCTCCTTCAGCGAAAGCAAAATTCTGAGGATTATCTATCAAAACTAACGATTGTCGTAATGGCACAAACGTGCCAGCTCAGACGCGAAGCGGAAGAGGTGTGGCCCTCAATTATTACTGCGATTTACAAATTGTTGGTTATGATCCGGGGCCAGCCGCTTTATGGAGGATCGCGTTTCGAGTGTATTTTAGTGCAGTTGCACCCAAAGGCCGCGGGTGGGCTGCTGCACTATAGCGGCTGAGCAGAGCTGGCATTCACTGCGTGATTTTCCGCGCTCATGCGTTTTCAGAGCCTGAGATATGAGATTGTATGAGTTTATGGCACGTACTTTTCTGGCTGCTTCGGCTGCAGTGGTGAGATTAAAATGAACCCTACTTCAATATAAGATACCTTGAGAAGCTACCTCAAGGTAATTTCGTATTCATCAAAATTTATCTTTCAAGGTTAAAATAACCTGTGCCAGCATGATAAACACTGACGTTTTGTTAGAGAAGGGCACGACATACTTGCGGTGAATTGGTTTTTTCATATCTGCATGGAATTTACGCGAATATACTTACGTTGCGTTTAGAGTGCGAAAGGCTACGGTTGGTGAATTGGTGAGGATAGGATCCACATATTCAATAATACTAGGTTTTGAAACTCTGTCCGGCAAACTATCTGCTTCTAAGTACAATTTACTTGAATTGGAAAAAATTTCTCTGCTGCGATACTAACCTGCCTGAAGAATGTTGTGCTGTTTCGGCATCGAACATTTTCCACATTTTGACATGCTTCATAAAAGGATTTCGTAAACAGTCACAACTAGGGATCTGACTATTTTATTGATGAGCTTAAAGCGATTTCATATGCATTCGCTAGAGCCAATGGAATGCTGCTGAAACAATTCTTTGTGAAGATTCCGATGCTTGCATCACAATCTTATACATCAGAGGCAACGTCTAAGTGAGTATACTTGGATCCGAATCGAATAGTATTTCGATCATTCGAATAAGTTTGAATACATACGCATTCGAAATTCGATATTTGGAGTTTTTCCATTTTCGCATAGTATTCGGAACTCGAGTGATTTGAAAACGGGGTTTCAAATAAAATTCGAAGCTCGAACAATCAAAAAACGAGGATGCGGATAAAATTCGAAAACTCGAATAATCAAGAAATGTCTCGAATAGATTTTATTCGAATGTTTATTCGAGTTCGTATTCGAATGAATTTCATTACTCAGATTATTCGAGTTTATTGCAGGGCCAGCTGCTGAGTATCAAGCTCGTTTCGTCTGCGTTTTTCCGCAAGACTCGGTAATGCATTTTTTGCAATTGTGATGACCTTTGAACTGTATGGAAAGTCGCATTCCTCCGACTGCTTGCGACAGTTAAAAAATAGGTGTGATTTTGGTTAATGCTTATTATCGGTCAATAAGATAGTTCGCACTGCTATTGGCACAAAATCAGCAAAAAAGCTATCAAACTCAAGCTCATGTTCCGAGTTCATACACTATAAATGTGTTGACATGCCTGTTTCTCTTTCTTTGCATTGCTCATGCTTTTGGTACGCAAAGGTCCACAATGGTGAGCACTCTTGCTTGTAAAACTCATGCTGCACAACTGCCTCTGTTCCTCTGTTGAAACAATCCTTAGACGATAACAGTTTTTTCAAGCCCTTCTGAGTATAAGGAGGACACGCGTCCAAAACACAGAAATATGATTTTATCAAGACATTTAAAATTTTGAAGTGTTTGTGATGAAACGCTTTGTAAAGTCCGATGCTTACATTACAAACTCATACATCAGAGGCAACGTGTGAGTCAAAGTTGAATGGATGAACAAAGTAAATAAAGAGCAAAACGTTAGAATTTTTTGCCAAGCTAATAAACTTCTCTTTTTCCGGATTCTTAGAGTCGAACCTTATTATCTTTGAAGTGCTGGCTGGCCGTTCCTGAGTGATATAAGTTTACTTGTATTTGAGTTGAGCAACTAAACAAGGCTAAAGAGTTGCGTTACACGGACGTCAACACTTGCTTTTCTTGAATACAGAGCTTGCAAAGCGATTGTTTTTGGGTCATACAATTTTTAGCTTGTGGTTTCAGTGTGCTATGCTCAAAATACTGTTTGATAGGATCTATAGTGCACAAAATGCTGTTGGAGCAAAGAAAGGATGTGTTCGACTTTCTCTGGTGCGATACATCAGTTTCACAGAAATTTTACAACACCCACAACATACCCATAGGATTGAAGAGAAATGTAGTGCTAATTTTTTTGCATGTCTATAACTCTAGCTAATCTCAATGAAATTAGATAAAATTGCAGCAATGGGCTCAGTTTACTGCAGTGTTCATGTGAAAAATCAGCCTCTAAAACCTTGTAGATTTCTGAAGGTATCACTCCTAATCTTGCCTTTGCTAGGGTAAAAGTTTCTATTGTGAATGTACCTTAAGGTAAAGGCATCAAGTTGATGAATACGGATTTATCGCTGATAAGGCTACCTGGTAGAATTCACCTCAAGGTATCATCCATTCCACATGAAATCATTTTCAAGGTTGATCTAACCTTGAGCATTTACCTCAAAGTACATTGATGAATACGGGTTTTGAGTGATAATCCTACCTCAACGTTCATTTTACCTCAAGGTAGCAATGATGAATACGGCCACAGGTTATTCTGTAAAAAGAATACACGTTGATTATCAAATTTATTCGATGTACAAAATCAAGTGCTCAAACTTGTCAAAACTGACGAACCTTGAGAGTGGTATATGGTCACTTGAAACCTGAAATGAAGCTTGATATAAATCTGAGCTTTTGTAAACGTATTTGCTATTAGACCTTGTGTCCATGGTAAGATGCCTGCAAGTGGCATTTTTACTGATTTATTCAGTTTCAATTCGCGTAATGCAAATTTTCTATGTAAGAATATGGAAAAAGGGTTGTAAAACATTATTTGCTCTGTCTGATCTACAGTTTCTCCAAACGAGGTGCAATGTCAACCAGGGAGCTCTCAGGCATAAGCAGAAGTAAATGCTGTCTTTAACAAGCAGGGTGAAGCCAAAAAGTCATTGTATTCACTGAAAATATTGCATCAACGGATATGTTGGTGTAGAGTAAGTAGAGAAGTCTCTTGTTCCTCACATTTCCGTAGAGGATTCTCACCTCCTTGCTAAAGATTGATAACAATCCAGACTTGCTGTCCCATGTGGTCTAGTGGTTAGGATTCGTGGTTTTCACCCACGCGGCCAAGGTTCGATTCCCGGCATGGGAAGGTTTTTGCACACGATCGGCATTGTCCAAGATAGGTCTCGTCATTAATATTCATGAGATGAATTTGATATCATATTAACTTTCTGAAAAATTTGGATATAAAGAAATCGAGTCGCATTTGAAAAAAAGTCAAATTCATAAGGTGTTCCAATGTTAAAGAGCATTTTTGAGACCAAGGCCTTGCAGGCCGATCTTATTATACGAGAAGAGATTGAAAAACGATATGATTGCAAAATTATGAATCAACCTGCGTAATAAAACCGTATGAATGATTGTAATTGATAAGGCGCTACTTGAGACGAAGCCAAGAAGGGACTGCACCAAAAATGAATTTATGAATTTTTCTGAAGCCATGCGTACGCCTATCGCCAAACGCGAAACGAAGATGTGTATATTTACAATGCAAAATTTCCGTAATAGTTGATGCAAAGCAATAAATTTCTCTCAACGCTGAATGGCAATATTTGTTTATTTATTTTTTACAATTTATTTATCGAATGACAATATAAGAAAAAAATAGTAAAACATAGATTAAGGTCATAATCACCGTTTCTCGTGTTAATGATCTTTGATAATACGAAATAAATGTGGCAAGTATCCTTAAACCTTGCCGCTATCAGCCCAATATTGTGCTCGGTATTTGCTACCATTTGCTACCTGCTTCAAGGCTATGAAAGAACAATACATTTCTCTAACTGTTACCAATGCTTAATCACTAAGGTGCGTCAACAATCAAAAGCGGTCGTAAAATGTCATATACGCCTAGTGAAATGTCAAGACAAAGATTTTATCATATCAAAATTTTGATAAGATAAAACAGACGGCGGGCAGCCTCTGGCATTTCTCAGCTTTTGATCCTAACGTTTTGGGTTTGATACCAAGGTATATAAGTGTATGTGATGAAGCTGAACGCAAATCTCCACACAACTCTTTTTAAGTACGTTTTATTAGATTAACCCTGATTTGCTGCAGAATGCTGCTTCTTTGAATTCTCAGTTTAGTTAATATTGTGCGATCTGCCCTATGGTCTCTTTCCAAAGAAATATGGTACCAGATCGAGTTCGGCCTAACGTATGACAGCCTTGTTAGACCATTCTATGAAATTGCCAGCCTGTAGGGCGCGAATATGTGTGGTGTAACTGCTGTTACTGAGGTTTACCTGGGTATTTTTTAAAAATCTTAAGGTCTTCCCCTTGTCCGAAAGATCGTAGGAGTGCTTCAATAAAACAACAATAATTGGACAAAGATGTACAGACATCCGCTAAGCTGGCGAAACTTTACAATTTCCTTTGCTTTCGAGCTTGTGGTTTGATTGCTTGCCTAATAAAAGATCTCGTCAATTCAGGGGCCTATAGATTGAAATTCCTATGCGCAAATGTGTTGAGAGTTTCGCTGCAAATGTTATGTCTACAAAACTGTATATAAATTCATTCAAAAATTTTTTTGGAACTACAAAACAGCTAGATGGCCATCTCAAACCCTCAAAATATTGTGTTGGCTAAAAATAATTTAGTTTGGGTGAGAATCTTCATAAAAATTTTCCTAAACTTTCGTTCTTCATTCATCATATCTTGTACATGATAGTTCAAAGCTTCTTTTATCACATATTAACTACTTAAAATTTTAAATTATCAGTAGGGGGCAGTCATGCCCCAACATGGCTAAAATTCCAAAAGCTCAAATTTATAACTTTCGAAGCTTCGTTTCCATGCTCTAATGGATGTAGAAGCACAGCAATTTATTATTCGAATACAAGTTTTCCCTACTTAGCGACTATTGATAGAAGCACTCTGCACTCTGCTCACAATTCTTCAACCAAAAAATCAAATTTTTATATTTGCTCACACTGAGAAAATTGGGATTTCTCACTTCTTTGTGGATTTCTTTTCTTGCAAAATAAATTCTACTTGAACAGATTCAATGTCCCATTGAAGTGTCCTTTACAGCTGTACCGAATACTAAACAAGAATCATCTAGCATTTGTAGGAGCCGCAAAACCGACCGAAATTATTTATTAGCCAACCTAATAATGTCAATCTCCTAGTTCCAGTGAGAGCGCTGAAATTCTACTCACTCCTTTTGCACAGACTATGAATGTCCTTCGTCTGATTTATGCATGCCTATCACTACTAGTAGAAGCGCTGATAAGAAAGTCTCCCTTGCGTCAGGAGGTCGACATTATCTATTCCAGAACTCTTTATTTACATGGTCTAGCCGCACTCAATATTTGAACTCCATGAAGTTTCAGCTGCACTTATGTAGAATTTAATTGTTCAGTTTTTGGGTCCACTGTCCTTTGCTAACATTTTTAAGATTTGATCGTCACATCTGAATAGTTGTAATTAATAAATCTTATATATAAAGCTGAATGTCTGTTTGTATGTATGTCTGTATGTCTGTCTGTATGTCTGTATGTCTGTGTGTACGTATGTTCCGAATAGAAAATTCCATTTCTGAACCGATCCGGGCCAAACTTGGCACACATACACTTCGGGCCCCGGCGCGTGTCATAGGCTACTTTTCGTCATCGATCGATATCGATTTTATCGATTTTTATTGATTTTTTTGCTGAGTTCACCTACGGGGCTGGGAGTTGGCATAGGGGGGTAATCGAGCATGGGGAATCCGAATACAGTATTGGTTTTCAGGATTATCGATTACTTTTATCGATTTTATCGATTTTTTTGCAAAGTTTGAGCTACGGGGCTGGGAGTTCGCACAGGGGTGTAATCGAGCATGGGGATTCCGAATACAGTATTGGTTTTCGGGATTATCGATTACTTTTATCGATTTTATCGATTTTTTGCAAAGTTTGAGCTAGGGGGCTGGGAGTTGGCACAGGGGGGTAATCGAGCATGCTGATCATCCCCAAGGGGGGTGATCAGCATCCTCGATTACACCCCTGTGCCAAATTCCAGCCCCTCAGCTCAAATTTTCAAAAAATCGATAAAATCGATAAAAGTAATGGACGATCTTGAAAACTAATATTGTATTCGTAATCTGCATGCTCGATTACCCCCTGTGCAAACTCCCTGCCCCGCAGGTCAAACTTTACAAAAAAACGATAAAATCGATAAAAGTAATGGACGATCCTGAAAACTAATATTGTGTTCGTAATCAGCATGCTCGATACCCCCCTGTGCAAAATCCCAGTCTCGCATGTCAAAATTTACAAAAAATCGATAAAATCAATAAAAGTAATCGATAATTCTAAAAACTAATATTGTATTCGAAATCCCCGTGCTCGATTACCCCCCTGTGCCAACTCCTAGCCCTGTAGGTGAACTCTGCAAAAAAATCGATAAAAATCGGTAAAATCGGCATCGATCGATAACGAAAAGTGGACTGTGACACCCGCCGGGGCTCGAAGTGTATGTGTGCCAAGTTTGGTCCGGATACGGCGGAGCCGGGTAAGCCAGCTAGTAATATGTAAAGAAGATAAAATGATATGTGACTTTTTGGTGCGATTCAAATTTTTCGATACATTTTACATCAACAGGCTCGAGCTGCTTTACAGGAGAATGCGTTTATGCGGTTTACTTATTTCTTGTTTGAGTCTGTGCTATGGCTATAAGTTCCTTGTCTACTCACCCATCTACGGTTATTCTCATACAAATTTCATGGGTGCTATAGCAGATACGCTCACAGAGGCTGGACATAATGTGGTAAGACTTTTCAGTTTAAGTCTCCCCATTATATAAGATTGATTCTTGCACCAAAAAAAGGATAAGAAAATTGATTCAAAAGTATTCAAATCATTCTTTCAAAGTGCGTCATTCAAATTTCGTAGCATTATCCAAAGTTGTGTTCATAAATAATAGAAATTCGTTCAAATTGGCAAGTTTAAAAAAATCGAAAAACCTAATGATTTGTAGAAACGTCTAGTTACATTAATATCTCTTAAATAAAAAGCATACCACAAAAAAGCAAATAAATGAGAACTTAGTAGGCGTTTGAGTAATTTCAGCTAGCGAGATTCGAGAAACACCTTTTTGCACACATTTCGGTGCAAGACTTCATTATTTGATAAGTATCAAAAGGCTTCATTGAAGTAGGGAAAATCATGAATTTGCCAAATTTTTCATGAAAGACTTGACCAATGTAATAATAAAGAAACTCGTAAGTTATAGTTAAAGCATAAAGAAAAAAGTGTGATTGCAGACCATGCTCATGCCTGTCATGGATTTCGAACAGGAAAATAAAACTGGTGTAAAACTGACGAAGCACGTGATCAAAGTACCAACCGATCCGCGGGTTGTTGTCATGATGAAATACAAAGCAGATATCTTGAGCAAAATGTGGACTATGGAGCCAAGCATTTTCGGAATGCTAAATGTAAGAGTGAAAAAATCCGCAAAAGTATTTACTCAGCTTGCATAATGGTCCATATTATTCTAGATGGTCCGGAACATGACTAAGTCATTCGTTTACCAATGTGAAAGTAAGTTCTCTCCAAAAAATGATCTTTGTCACAACTATTCTTCAAAGGGGTTATCACGGATGAGCAGCTGTTGAAACAATTACGAGATGAAAAGTTTGATGTCGGCATTTCGGAAGCTATTGGCATATGTGGTTTTGGTAAGAAATACTTCTTGTTCAATTCTCTTCCTTGATAAGTTTTTGAAAATTTTGAGGATTTAGGAGTTTTTGAGCTTGCCCAAATACCAGCCTCTATAGCAGCCCTCTCCATTGTTCATAAAGAAAGTGTGGCGGCTATGATTGGCGAGTCTGTCAACCCCAGCTATGTGCCAGGTAATTGGATACTCAGCTTAATCAAGTATAAACGTAAGCCAATGTGATGTTTAGGGCCATTTTCTTTGTCTGGTGATCGTATGGGATTCGTGGATAGACTGAAAAATATATTGGGAGTAGTTGCTGGAGAAACATTTTTCAAAGGAGTCTTCAATGGCGAGGAGGAGATTTTCCGGAGAACGTACGGACCACAGTTCAAAGGCCATAAGGTACAGTATTAAGCCTATCGGATGGAATTGACAAATTATGTTCTTCGTACGTAAGCATTTTAACTTTCCTCTCAAAGAAAGCTAGCACAAAAATCTCAGCTTTGTACGTACCACTATTTTTTTACTCCCAAACGTAGATATGAGAAATCGAATGATGGCTGTTCACAGAAATGATTAAGATTTCTTTTGCGAAAATATTCTTGAAAAAAAGTAAATATTATAATCCTAACGCACGAGCAATTCACGTGTACGAACTTTCTCTACTCTCCTGATAATGAGGTGTCAGTCATCTAAAAAAATGTGATTAGGGCCTAAATGCCATTTTTTGGCGATCTTTACAGTCTGTTACCGGCACTATGTACTTTGGGCTGAGTTATAGGTATTGCACAAATTTCATTTTTTGTTCAGATTGCTCCCACTTCCCCCCCCCCCCCCCGCTCCCCGCCCTTCCATCGCTGCCAATTCCTAAATGAATCCATTCCACTTCCAGCTTGCCTTTTTTTTAGAAAAGAAACCGATTTCATGAATAGTCAATCCATATTTTATTTTATAGCAGTCTTGCAATATTTACTTTCTTATCAGTAATTTCTATAACCATCTACTTTTTTTCAGCAACTGATAGCTGAGGCATCCTATCTGATGACGAACTCCAACCCATACCTGGACTATCCTCGTCCGATGTTGCACAAGACTGTGCCAATTGGAGGGATTGCTGTATCGATAGATTCTAAGAAAAACAAACTCTCAAAGGTATTCCCGGAATCTGCGACTACTGTGTATCATTTCCGATTTTGTAGGAATGGGATGCTATCTTGAACGAACGGAACAGCACTGTCCTAGTGTCGTTCGGATCGCTGGCAAAGGCGATCTACATGCCGGAGCAGTACATGTATGTCCGGAGCTTTTTCCCTATCGTCATATTTCGGTCAACATCATCAGTTTCAGTTTAGAAACTCGCTTCTGACAGTGTTTGAGAGGATGCCAGAGACCACATTTATAATGAAATATGAAGAAGAAGGTGCAAAGATAGCGGATCATCTCCCCAATGTTCATCTAAGCACCTGGTTTCCTCAAAATGCTCTTTTGAGTACGTATTTTTGAGCAATGAAGACCCATGCAAAGACCTACTGAATCTGATTCAGGTGACCCTCGTCTTAACGCATTCGTCACTCATGGAGGATTGGGTAGCACAACGGAACTTGCTCATCAAGGGAAACCGGCTATACTCGTAAGTGAAGAAAGCAGAATTCAAAAATATGTACATGAACGTTTTTTGCTCTATCAAGTGTTCCAAAGATTTGTACCTGGAAGATTCAAATTATGAAAGTTGTTGAAAAAAAGACAAAAGTTAAGCTTTGAAATAATGTTTGTTCTGTTTTCGACATACTGAGAGTGGAATAATTAGGTTGTAACATAAGTCTTTTTACACTATAACTTCTTACGTCGATAAGATGTACAGTTCACATTTTTAACAAGGATCCAGGGCACCACTCGATAGAACAAAGCAAGCTCTACAAGAAGATCTGCATAAGTTTAATCAACTTCTGCCTAGTGTAAGGTTGCATCCAAAATCTGAGTCGTATTGAAGGCTCAAAAAATCGCGAAAAATTTCGTTTAAAAAATTCTACAATTCCCAACTTGCTCACGACAATTGCACATTACATCAGACACTCACATGCCGTTCCTGTATTCTTTCTTCATTTAGAAGTCGAGAAAACAAAAATTTTATGTTTTTACGGAAACGAAGCTATGCTTCCACTTATGTATTGTATACCACAAGCCCTTAGGAGTATAATCGTAGATTTTCAGTTTTCTGCAACCCCGAGTTTTCCAAAATCACCGAATTCGGCTCTTCTCACTCTGGTGTTCCATGCTAAAATCAGTTGTGGAAAGCTGAAAATTTACGTTTATACTTCTAAGGGCTTGTAGGGTACAGCTCCATGAATAGAAACGGTATAGCTTCCTTTTTGTAAAAACATGAAAATTTTCGTTTCCTCGATTTTTAAATGAGGAAAGAATACAGGAATGGTATACATCTGAGTGTTTGATGCAATTTTTCTGAGCGGGTTGGAGATTCGTAGAAATTTTTTGAACAAATATATGAATTTTTCGCGATTTTTTCAGCCTTCAATAGGACTCAGATTTTGGATGGAGACTTACGCTGGATCGAATTTGATGTGGATTTTCGCACATTCTCTCGTAGAGCTTGCTTTGCTCTATCGAGTAATGCCCTGGAACCCTACCGAAAATGTGAACTCTATGACTTATCGCCGTAAGCAGTTACATTTGAGTTTCAAGACTTATGTTTAACCTAATACTTTGTGGCAGCAACCTTAATGAAGATCATCATACAAGCCGATAAAAGGAGTGATTCTGCCGTTGGTTTTCTTCAAATTTTTAGATTCAGGTCCAGATCTAAATCTACCATTTCTGTAGATTCGAATTGATTTAGGAGAACTCAGGTTTGTCTTCAATTCTGGTTTCGTGGCCTGTTCTCAAGTAGTACTTGTGCTGATTGACTTTATGTATGAATAATAGTGACTATCAGATTTTTTCTACGATGCAAATAATCATAGAATTTTTCAAATTGTTCATCCAAACCAAAAATCTGTAATATGTATGTGCAAGGATATGTGAGATATATTAGCATAACAAAACGATGAATTTCGCTAAAATGCTTTACATTCAAAGAACGCATTTTTTGTTCCGCAGTTTTGAAAAGCAATTTATAAACATCTAGTACTACTTCTTAAGCTGAAAAATTGGGTTGTTGGCGTTTTAAATTTGCTCCGCTAAAATTTTTCGGTGCATGATATTTCTATTTTGTCACTTCTATGAATTTTGGCTTGGAAGATGATTCTAAATTGAACTGGAATGGCGGGGAAGAAAATAGGAAAGAATGTGAATCGAAGGTGCGATTATCATATTCGATATTCCAGATTCCTCTCTTTGGTGACCAATCCCGTAACGCAGGAATGCTGGCCAAGCATGGAGGAAGTATCGTCCTAACAAAATATGATCTGGAGAATCCAGAAAAATTGGAAAAATCGCTTCGCACCTTGCTCAGCGATCCGAGGTTAACACTTTTCCAGACTTTTTGAAGGCATAATTGAGTTATCATTTTTGTAGTTATGCTCAAAATGCCAAGCGTCTTTCGAGCATGCTGATTAATCAACCGATTAGTGCTAAGCAGCTTCTTGTACGACACAGTGAATTTGCAGCAGAGTAAGCCTATTAACTCATTAAAAGAGGACTTACTCATCAAAACCAAATTTAGATTCGGTCGTGTACCGAACCTGGATCCATACAGTCGCCAGTTATCATTTATACAGTATTATCTCATCGACATTATATTAGTAGTTAGTAGCGTTATTTTCATAATTTTGTATATAATTTATAGGTTACTCAGGAAATGCACATCTAAGGCCATAAAAAGCAAGAAAGATTAATGTTACATAAATTCGTTGTACTTAATGCCTTTATTATTGTATGAATAAATATTACGCTTGATTGATTCGATCACCATCATTAATCACCTTGTCCTATTATCGCCTTTCCTTGATCATCCGCGTAAGCCAGAACGATATTCTGACGTATGTCAAACCTGCGAATATCCGCATTTCAGTGGCGTACCAAGCCCCTCCTGCCCAAGAATGGGTCACGAGATCTTTGAAAATTGCTTACATGTACTTCAAAATGTGCAAATGACTTGTTTTTACTTGTAGATAACCAAATTTTATTTTTATTTTTTTAATTTTATTTAATTTTTAGAAATTTTCAAAGGCTCAAAGTTAATTTTGCAAAATTTTTCGAGATCGTGGCTGCCATCACGCCTTTATTCCTGAAATTTCGGGGCCATGGGCCCGAAAAATCTTTGGGAATCATACTAGAAATTTTTTGGATTGCGCGGCTGAGGCCACGCTCTTTGAGCACAAAGCGTATGAAAACACGCAGTTTTCGGGAGAAATATGCACTAAATTTTGGAAGAACCTTGTACAGGCTATCACGAAGGGATTGAAAAGTTTTCGAAGCAAACTTTTGTTATTTTCAGCGTCAGTGGCGTTACTCTCTTCAATGTGAGCTAATCACTAGCTGTTTTCAGCATCTTAGTTTCACGATTTTGCATCTAGTAGAGCTGGTTTATGTAAACCCCAGATAAACGCGGAGAGCTTTCTTCTTATGCACATAAACAATTTCATTTCCTCTCTTTTTGCCCTTTTCCCACCCCATTCAGCGTTGATTCAGTAAACAATCTCTTTCGCTACTTGTGAGCTCAAACATCTTCTAAGGATTGCTTTCTAGCATGATTAATCCACGGCAAAAGCTGATGTCTGCTGTTTTTGGATGTTTTGCTCATCCTCCATGTTTCGATCATCCTCCATTTCTATATTTCACGGCTGTTTTAAGAATTTTGCTGTTACTCTTTCGCTGAAACTGTGTGAAAGGTTTGAATGTTAAAAATACGCGTAGATTGGCTCTAAACGAGATGTTGTCAAAATGTGGTGCGATCTTCTTTTTGAGTGAGGAGACTTTTTGCTTACAATTTGAGCTCAGAAAATCGAATTCAAGGAAATTATCGATGAGCAATTCGATATCTTGGATAACAAAGCTTAACCAGCATTTTCAAAATTTTCAGACGATGCTAACTTCATCTTTGCCGAGCTAAGGATAATGAAAGTGGAGGCGCCAATAATCTTACTAACGTATATGAAATGCTTTTGTTTCAGTCACCTATTACAAGCTCAGTAAGCCACTTCTCGAATTAATCTCAAGCGCATAAATGTCTATCTCACCATCCTCAGACATTTTTACACTTTATCACTCACTTGCATAGAGCCTGTTAAGCTCTGTTGTGTAAATAGGTATTTCTATGACGTTTTTATAATCTATATAAATTTTTGCAGCCATCACTATAATTCAACCACTCCTAAAAATAAGTAGTCACAATTCCATGGTTCATATAGATTTCTTTGGAAACTAAGTAATATGTGCGTCGTGTGCAAATCATACTCACAAGGGAAGCTTGTTTATTGGAAGTGACCTCTTTGTATGAGATTTACACCATATTAAAGGGCATGAAACGCTGATTCCAAAACTGCCTTTCTTGTCTGCAGAACGTTTATGGGCGAGGACTTATGAGCGTTTTTTGGAGCCAAGACTGTAATTTTGGATAAAATGAGTTGCTAAAATCTTACTAGCCCTCAAGTAATGTAACCAAGTGTGATATATTTTTTATTCTAGAGTACTTTTTATAAAATGCTCCGATGATTATCATTGCTCCATTGAAGAGCTAGAAAAAAACATTACGGCTTTGTCCTACTTGCACATTCAATTTTTTGCTCCAATAAGCGCTCACAACTCCTCGTCCATAAATGTTCTGCAGACAAAGAAGGCAGATTTGGAATCAGCATTTCATGTCCTTCAGTGTAGTATATATCCCATTCAAAAAGGCCACTTCGACTAAACATGCATTTCTTGTCAGACAACTGACCGGAACCTCCACGGAACGTTTGTGTAGTTCCGCCAGGTCACTTGCGGAAGTCCCGTAAACCTGCTGCGGAACTTCCCAAATGAGGTGCTGTGGAAGTTCTGAGGAATGCGAACCACAACAGCAAAAGGGAACACCTAAGCGAGATTTGAACCTTGCTCTACTGACTGTGAGACTCACCTACTATCCTCTGCGCTACGGATAACAAGTTTGATAATGTGCTCTAGTTGTTGGCGAAGCACCAACATACGAGACAACACATTCAAAGGCCTGCGGAAGTACTGGCATGTCAAAGTGCAGCGGAACTGCTGACGTTTTCCGAAGTCCTGCAGCGCTGTAAAAAGTCCTGCTGAAGTTTCCGTTCCCAATCAGTCTACTTGAAAATCCTGCGAAAATTCCATTTTCAACGCGTTCCCACTTTCGCAATGGTAAACGAAATCCTGCGGAACCGCTGAATTTTCTTGTCCTGCGGAAGATCCTGTAAACTGTCTGAGTACATGTTCTTAAATAAAACTACAATCATTTTAGTTGTCGTCTTTGATGAAGTGTTCGAGTTTCTTCATTCATCAGGCAGATTCTGAAAGTTCTACTGATCGAGATCCTCAGCTGAATATCATAGCTTAATTTAGTGCAAACATTCCAGAAGTGCGTTTATGTACCTCGTCGTGCAGGGGACATTTCAGCACTAGCTAATCAACTTTACGTTGATTTGCGCAGAATCTATGGTTTAGACAGGTGTTTGAGATCCAATTTGTGCAAGTGCAGACGATATGGGCAGATGTTTGATCCGTTAATTTATTTAGTACGGTGACATTCACATGCGGGGATTTTGAGGTAAATTTCACCTGTTTACCGAGGCTGTTCTAAAATGCTAATGAACAGTGTAGGATGGTGTTGGTCACAACATCGAATTCACCTGGGATTACTAATATGGATGACTGCAGTAATCAGCCTGCTAATTGCTATGGTTGTTTGGCCATATGCACACCAAGAATTTGGCAAATTTTATTTTTAATTTGCGCCGTATATGCAGTTTACTTGCAAGTATTTTTCACTAACATACACGATAGCTACAAAGTTTTTGCTACGCGTGAATAAAATCATCTAAGATTAGCTTTCTTTCCAATTGATGTCATATATTTCTACGAAGAAAGAAGTTGTTTTTGACACTTCAAACACATGCGCATGCGATCTTTCAACCATCTTTTCTGAGTGGAGTCCAAGGCTATGCTAGCTTTCCCTGTATCATTTTCACTCAAAGATATCAACTCTCTTTCTTTAAGTATTTCTCAAAAAGTTAAACACCTTTCAGGGAGTATCTGGCAGAAATCCAGCGTTTCGTAATGCATTTCATGGCTGAACAAAACGCTGAAGAAATTGGCTGAAAACTTGAAGCGAATTCTTCGCGCGCAAGTTCCAAGAAGCTCATAGTTTGAATACATCTATCTGTCATTGCTTGATGGTCTATGTTGATCTATATTCCCTTTTTGGGTACTTTGTGACAGTCCGAGTATATTTTGAACTTTCTACCTCATGGCATGAGCACTTCAGTTTGCATTCCCCTCTGATGAATTTTTCCCTTTCACATGGAGTATCGCTCACTTGTTACAAGCCTGTTCGGAAATCGTATCAAAGAAGGAAGGTTGGAAATAGGAAAGAGTTTGGCAGGTCGTTTGAGCAAAGAATTTCGCCATGATTCAGCTAGAATATTCAAGCAAAATATCTCATATCGATAAAAGTCTGCCTGAGAAGCGAATCTAGTGCTTTTTTCTCATGTTCTCTCAATAAAACTTGTGAGCATTTTCAAACGATAACAAGCATGAAGCCTTAAGATATGGCTACAATAGCGAATGACTAGTGGCAGAGTGAACTGGTAGTTTGTGGTTACGGAGTTCTCAACAAATTACGTGGTGTTCACTACAGACGAAACGGTGACTGAGTTGTCTGTCTGAGCTATATATTGGGTTCACTCATAACTAATGCAAGTTTTTCAAACTTCTTCTTCCAAGGACTAGTTTTCAAAGCAGGAACAACTATCTAGAATGCATACTGAAGGAGCATTTCTTCTAATTTCTACAAATGCCTTCGCTTTCGTAGATCTTCATTTTGAAGTTTTGAGCCTTCAAACTCAATGGACTAAATCTCAAAATTTCCTTTCGCTCATTCCCCTAAATCCGCGAATAATCACCGATACATTTCAGAAAATGTGCATAACGATTGCAAAGACTTGTGCTACGAAAAACTTCTTGCAATAAAATTTTTGGAAAGTGCTTGCTGAAATTTTATTGCAAACTTGGATGACCGTTGAGATCCTTCTGTGCCATGCAAAAATCTTATTTAAGCAAAAAGCGATTGGACATCTGCATTATACAGCGGGGATAATCTCAGAATATCTAGTGAGATGAAAACGGTACACAATTCTCAACTGTATTGGAGAAAAACTGAAGAATTTCGAAAAAGCCACTTTTTAGGTTCACCAAGATACCTCAAGAAATGAGTACTTTCGCAACATTTCCTCCTGAGAAAGTTTTGTAAAACCTGAGTGTTTGGCGCCGCTGCTTGCCCTACCAGTGGTTACATAATGAGCAGAGTGAGCGCTACCCTAGTAATTCTAGAGTAAGTTTTAAGGTCTAGAAGACTAGAACAAACTAGAAGTGTCCAAAATTTTTTGGCAATTTGTTTATAAGATCGAGCTCTGTCAACCTAATTCTTTTGGCGCACTTATAGTGCATATTTAAATAAATAAATAAATAATCTTTGAGCTAGAGTATCTTTTTTGTTATGGTTGAAGTTTACAAACACATAGGTTGCATGCAGTGGCGTACCGAGAGGGGGGGGGGGCGCGGGTCGCGAAATTTCCAAAAGTTACTCACATGGGTTATAAAATTGTGCAAATGAATTGTCTGCACTTGTAAATAATTAGAATAATTTTAAAATTTTTCAAAAATTCATTTTAACCTTATAAAAAAATTTTTTTCGGGGGCGTGGCTGAGGGGTGGGACCCGCAAAAATTTTGAGGAGCACCCCCAAAAATTTTTCGGAGTGCATGGCTAACGCCACGCACCTTCTTTAAAAAAAATTTTTTTTGTCGCGCCCCCTCCCTTCCCGAGCCGAAATCCTGGGTACGCCACTGGTTGCATGCTTCTTCATCAAGTGCATGCTTCTTTACGATAGTCTTTACTGCACCTAGAAAGAGCTTTTGAAAAAGAGTTAGTTCGGTCAAATTTGCATCATAAAAAATCTGCATCACTTATGAATCATCGTAGGATATGTCTCAGTGATATTCACTTCATTTACCCTGATGACTACTACGAAGGCGTCTTACCCAAAAACCTCACGGTGATTCATTTACTAACGCAGAAGAGCGCATGAGATTGAATTTGCTGACCTCATTTTTGTGATGGCGAATTAGCCGAATTCTACCACAGTTCAACATGATTAGAGATCAGATATGAAATCCAAGAGGACGCCAAAGGTCACGAAGACTTGAAAGGATGACGGTATATAATTTTGAGGTCGGTTCGAATCAGGGAATGTAGATTGAGTTTCCTTTGAGTAGCGTTTTTTTAGCAAGGCTCGCGCTCAGATATGACGCATTTAGCTTATAAATTCTTGAGTGCAGGGTTCATTATCAAATTTTTAACGCTGGACTTTTCGTTTTCCAGTGTTTTATTTTCATCGTGCCAGCAGAAATTCACAATTCCCAGATTTGCTTACGCAAATATTTGAGATAATATAGTGAGACCACTCTACTAATTTTGGATTGAAACCATTTTCCACCCATTTATCAATGATAATAGTGTCGTGCAAGTCAGTTTTCCAGAAGGCATCATCATGCCAAGGTATTTTAAGAGGCTTACTCTTTTATTGCATTTAGACTGAAACCTCAATGACGAAAATGAAGGTAATAATCTGTCGTAGGCGGTCACGATTTCGAAATGTGATTCCCCCCCCCCTCCCCGTGAAACTTCGCTCACAGACGAACATTTTCATCGATGTTGCTTTCTAGTGCATGTTTTTTAGCGGATAATAGAACATCACTATTTTGGCTATTCAGACCAAAATGTGGAACGCATAAACATGGCACTTTATTTCAGTTCACTGGCAGCCGCTTGATGTTTTTTTCCCAACTCTGTTCTATTATATCGATTGGTAGAGTATTTTAGATCCGTAAAAATTTTCTGAAAAGCTCTAGATCGAACACGGAACTTGCAAGAACTTTGCTTGCGCTATATTTAGCTCTTACTAGATTTATCAATTCACTCTTAGTCACGAATAAAGAAACTCATACTCCGTAAGCCTATGCTATTAGCTGTTACCCGTTCACTCTCCCCCCGCCCCCCCCCCCCCCCCCCTCCCCCCGCCTCCCGCAATAGTGTCGCACGTTGACAAGTTTTCAGGAGGCGTTCGGAAAGAGTAAACAACGGCCTCTCTGTTGAGCCAAGCATTTCTTAAAGTCCCACATGAAGTTTCTTCACGTTCTCGCTTGCTTATAGATTTATTTTAGTGCAAGTTTGACTGGCATTCTTGGTTTTATTTTGATTTGAGCAGAGATTTGTGTTGAATGATGCGCTCCCGAATACGCCTCTCAGAATCTGCTGCATCTACACACTATATCTTTTTGCACAAAAAACAAAAACACGAAAAAAAACAAAAAAAGCATCTTCTGAAGTTTAACCTTTGAAAAATATCGGAAGAGCAAGCTTTGTTTGTTATGTCATCAAAATTGGGGTATAATTGCTTATGCTAATACTAGTATTAGGTTTTTTTATTATAGTATTATATTGGCGGATAATTTCTGTCACACTTCTATTTTTATTTTTTCAAAATTTTCAGAAACTTTTAAAAATACTTATGTTCAAGGAGTGTTGACGAGGTGCAAAGGTCTATCCATCGGTACTATTATATCCGTAGCCCATGCGCAAAACACTCACTTTGTTAGTGGGAGTGGGCTTTTATGGACACTTTCGCCAAGGGCTAGCACTCTTCTGGGAAATCAGGTACAGAGCGAGCGAAAGAACCAAAGAAAAAAGTCAATTCTGAGCACGCTTATGAAGTTGTCGTAAGCTTGCTAGCTATTTGTGCATTTGCGGCATCAACCGCTGTGGTGTACGCCCTGCCACGCCCTACATATGGAGCAAATTTAGAGATTCTAGTGAGCTTCCGGAATTCATCGAATTTTACAAGAAAAGTGTAACAGAATTTTCCGCTAACCCAATAGATTGTGCTCGTATGCGGGTCCCAGCTGCCGTCTGGGTTTTTTGTGCGTTCGCTAAACAAACAGCATATGAGCAATGGAGGATTATCGCAGTTGAAGCTAGATTAATCACAAATGCATTTTTGTCTTCTTTCTTTTGTCGCAAATGGTTTGAGTCTTCGCTTTGGTAGCGTAAAGTACTTCCGTAAACGAGAGACATCACCACAGGGCAAAGTCCTCCGATTACTCAAGGGAGGAACATATGTACAAAATCTAGCGGTATCATTTTGTTGAAAAGACTGCTCTTTTTTCTTCGTGCCCACTTAACATCGTCAACAGCTTTTTAGCATTTCAAAAAGTTCACGCCCTGTCATTTAGATTAAATATTTGCTTGAATCTAAAGCGAAATTCGCAGCGTTAGGTTTCTTTGAGTTCCCTAGATCAGCTGACAATATATTTGAAAGCGTCTCGAAAATGCATTTGCATTTTAATATATCGATTTTGCAACTTACGAAAAGCTCTGGTCATGACTTTTCAAGCGATTCCGGAAGACAGATCTAAAAAACCGAATTTTTTCTCAACTTTCTTGTTTGTGATCGAGCCATTTCCATACAATTTCCTTTTGTCAGCTGAATAGATCACATTAACTGTGATTAATTAGTGAGACAGTAGTCTAACGGTGCTAGATTTGCAAGCGCATTCGCTGCGGGAGCCTCGTTTCCCACAATTTTACCTTTTTGATTAGACACGACGATTCTTTATATACAGAATTGATTGATTCGCAGGAATAACGGCCAGAAAAAGTTCTTCTATGCGAAACAACTGCAGGAAAGAATGACTAAACTTTATTGTGGACTTCATGAGTAGAAAACTTTTAGCAGAAAAAAATAGTATGAAGGTGTGATAATCAAGGAACTGAAGCTGAGGAGGGTGAGCGTATTGTAATCCTTCATCAAGTTATGTCAGAATAGGATTTTTCTTTTTAGTAATAGTCAGCATAAAGTTGTTTCCCAAAATGCCGTGAAATTGCATTCGAGAAGAATATATAAATTTAATTTCAATCAATTTCGAGGCTTTGAAAAATATATGGTTTAGATTTATTGCAACTGGAGTATTTTTTTCGAGTATGATTCACAGCTTTCTTCTTTTTCTATTTGAACTCCCATCTCTCTACAAACTAAGTAGACTGTCCACACGAATCTTCGGAGAAATTATTTTTTCAGACTAGTGCCGATATGCTAGACACCTTCATATTCCTACTGCATGTTCTGCCCAACATCATCGGTCTTCTGCTCAACGCTCTACTCTTCGTCATAGCACGATATCGCAGCCCAAGCAATATTGAACAATACTCTCTACTCATTCTAAATTTTGCTGTATGCGATTTCTTTGCATGCCTGACATCCTTATTTGTATGTCAGAGGTAAGCTGTTTTTATGGTTGCCTTCATAGTTTTCCAACAATCTCATCATTTATCGCGATTCATGATATGGAAAGAATTTGATACTGAACGTCCAGCCGTCAAACCTCTAACTTTCGAAAATTTCTTCTGAAAATTTTGAGATTTGTAGGGATTTTTTTCATAAGATTTTAAACATACCAAAATTCAATTCTGTCTGCTGTTCTTACTCCAAAACAAGTTCTGTAATTTCTTTCATGCTAATGCGTCAATTTGCTGCAATTATGGTAACATGTGCTAACTGTTTAAGTACTTTAAATTGTATAAATTGAGGAAAATGGGCTTGCGAACGTTTTCTGCAAAACTGGGGGACTTTCCAATACCAAAAATGTAAAGTTTATTTTGACATATGCACAACTTTGCCTTTAGCATTTGGATGGCTAAGATGGCTTCATAAGTAGAACTGTTCTGATTAAAAGTCCCTTGTTTCTGCTGTCTTAGGCATTTTTCCCTACGACTGCGCGTGAGTTTTAGCGAAAGTTCAAGAATTTATAGAAAAATCGACTATCAACATTAGCGGTAGCCGTAGTAATGTCAATATTAGACTTTTCAGAATAATACCAAACGGAACGTCATTGTTCTATCTTTCCGAAGGACCATGCCGATATTTTGGTGCTAGAACTTGCTATGTTAGGTAAGGTGTTTTTTAATTGCTTTTTTGGGACAGTTGATAATCAGTCCAGAATTAGCCGGCCAGCGCCGTGCTAGAGTTTGTGCCAAAATGACGATCGATTGAAACGGGCGTGTCTTGGGTCCCAGCACTGCTTTTCCACGGCGCCAGCCCGGCGCTGGAACGGCTCTAGCACGGAGCTGGCACACTGGAAACTTTCGACGCTGCTCCATAAGCAATAATTATTGTTCGCTTTTTCAGCTACAGCGTAATGCTTCATCTATACGCCCACACCCTGTACAGTACCCTATTATCATTCTCATTTCGATATTACATATTGAATTATCAAACGCCATCGAGAAACACGCTAAAACTGCTCATTCTACTTATCTACGTTCCATCTTTTGTCCAAATGGTAAGTCTGAATCACCTTTTCCCCTTAAAAAGAATCGGTTTTTCTTTTATTGGTGCAAGCTGACACAACTCTGGATCCAACAATTACAATTTTCGCGAATTTTTCCATTTTAGGTACTCTTCAGCTTTGCGGATGATCCGGCAGAGATTATTCAACCTTTGCTCCAAGAAGCATATCATCAGTACAATCTTACCGGTTGCACGATTACTGGTAATCTGAATGTCTTTGAATGGAAAGCCCTCAGCACAATTCTGCACATGACTGTGCCAATCACTCCAGTCTATGTTTGTATATTACTGCTACGACGAGAGATTATTCGCCATCTGAGTGAGGCTACTATGTCTCCTAGGACGAAGCACCTGCACCATCAGTTACTCAAGGTGAGAAAAGTGTGGTACAGACCGAATCAAGAAATGGCAGAGCACAAGCAAGTGGTTCAAATGTGTCTCTCTCTGTTGATTGACCATGGGTGTCCTCTCTACAATATGTTTTTGATTCTGTGCCATCGTCTCCTCGGAAAGCTATCTAGGTAGTTGCCTTCACATATCATGCATATTGTGAAAGATCTAAATTGTTTCTAGCTGAGAAACTGAACTGAAAGTAACATAGATGATAAGAGAGAAGAAATCACTACTTGAGTTTTAATGCTTGAAGTTCTACTGGCTTTACAAATTCTGTCAGTCTTTGCACTTCTTTGGGCGTAACTGGCACTCGAGCAATGCATAGGCGTACGTGCCGCGTTGCGCGCTAAATGCGAGAGTGAGCAGAAAATGCGAAGGTTCAAAGTCGACTGCACGAAATCGCCCGTGTCACTGTGGGCTGAACGCACGCGGGCGTGCCTGCAACGCGGTTGCCGTGTGCGGGCGCTATGATGACTCATGCGCGCGAAAACCAATGTTAGTCTGCAAGTGACACGCTCGCGGGTGTTCAGCCGGGTCGATTCCGTGCAGTCAACTATAGCAATTTTAGTGCATTTGCAATGAGATATAGTAAACTGCTATTTAGTGGGTGTTAACACATAAATACTACCCCATTTACCGAGGGATCTGGGCCACTAGCTCAAGATCTTGAAAACTGCTTGCGCTTTTACTGCATCCATTTGAAACTTTTGCTAACTTTAGACCTTTCTCAAAAGTATTCACATCGTTTTTAATTATTCTTGACCTGCATACCCAAGACATTTTCAGGCACTCTCCTGGCAAGCCTGCCTTCCCTTTTTCTACCTCTACGCAGTCGTCTCCTACGCTTGCGGTCAACTTGACATTTACCACCATCCCTATATCGAGCACTCCACGTTCATCTCCATGGGTCTCATACCTGCTCTCAGTCCTATCACGTCGCTCTACTTCGTTCGTCCATATCGAGACTGCATTCGCAGTATTTTCAGTTCGAGATATAAAGTGCTCGCCCACAAAGACACATCTTCAGACCCAGCATCGGCTCAGCCTACATTGAAAAATTTTGTCTTATGACGAGGAGACCGGATGGTGAATAGCACTGAAATTTAGGCACTTATTTTTGAAAATCAGGCCACCTTTCTCCATCCGGAACCTACAGTTGAGATTTCCCTCTTGTAATTTTTCTCTGTACCTCATTTGTTGAATTGTTGAATGCGGGTTCACCTTCTCCTCTTGTAGTGTTTGGGTCCTGTATAAGAAACAAAAACAATTAGCTTGATCTCAAAACTACTTGATGTTTTGCATTATGTGGCATAAAGATGACTTTTATCTCTTATCAACTTTCAGATCACTATCTTCATCAATCTAATATATAAATTTTATGAGTGGGTATCATTGTAAATTTACCATGTCAATCATCATATATTTGTTTTTTCACGCAACCAAAACTACGAGTTGTGCAAGTGTTTTGATAAACACTCTATCTCTTATACACTCTATCTCTTTTGATATCTCACTCTATCTCTACACTTTATCTCTTATCAACTTTCAGATCACTATCTTCATCAATCTAATATATAAATTTTATGAGTGGGTATCATTGTAAATTTACCATGTCAATCATCATATATTTGTTTTTTCACGCAACCAAAACTACGAGTTGTGCAAGTGTTTTGATAAACACACAACTATTCATAGCAATTACATTGCAGTGCACTGAGTGTATGAGCCAAAATAGACATCGAATTCTTATTTGGATGGGCTTGTTCGGGTATGGACTATTGTGGCGACTCGGTGGGCTTAAGACAGAGGGAAACCGAGGCTTACATTGTGCTCACCCGACTATAAACGACTTACTAGCCTAGGTTCAACCTAACGAAAGGAACACGTTATAAATCAAGTCATTTATAATAGTAGCCTCACACTACAGTTAAAAAACAGACTAAAGCAAAACAATTTACTGCTATAGACGTCCTCACCCCACTAGTTGCTTGGTGGTCAAATTCGAATTTAAACTAGAGCTGGCCGGCTGCGGCAAAGAGCGGCACTGCTAGCTCTCAATCACAGCTTCGTGTGTTTTCTTTCTTTTATTTCTCATTGCATGCTAGTTTTGTGTTCTAATAATGCTCATGGTGAAAATGTGCGACTCTATTGTTAATAAGCGGTGTTTCATAGAACTATGCTCATTTTCTCAACTCTGCTTACAGTAAGCTTGGAGAAACGGTGAAGATACGAGCTTTTTGCTCGCAAGTTCTTGTTTGGTGAGTACAATGCACTAAAGTTTTGGTTCGATATATTTTATCCACAAAATCCTATCAGCATTGCTTATCCAAGTTTAGGAGTTGAAGAAATGACAACAGCAAACAATAGGAACATGAAGCAACGCTCAGCCACAAGAAAATTGTAACTTCTAACTGAGAAAAGCCTCTGACAAAAAGTAGCATGAAACGATAAATAGAATAGAGAAAAACATAAGTGAGCTTGAACTGGGGGCTGAAGGGGCCGCGCTCACCGTGGCCAGCCTCCGGTTCAAATTTGAATTTGTTAATTGAGCGGCTGGTGGAGTGAGGACGGATATACTAAAGAAACGATGAGGGGCCGTTACTTGCTACCGAGGGGCCACTGTAAGTGATCTCAAGCACATATGGTTCTCGAGGATTCGCGCAACGCCAAGGTTGCAGACGACGGCACGTTCCAGCTGAGAATTTTACATTTCTGACTTGACATTCATTTCCGATCATTCTTACTATAGCATCTATTATATCCCAATCCAAAGGACATCCATCTCTCTTAGTCTTCAAAAAAGGAGCTTAGCGGCTGAATTACATTTCGAACAAGGAAGTGAATCAGTCAAGGAGGGGTCCAGAGACGATTGCGGCAACAAGCGTTTCGCCTACTGTAATCGCCGCCGGGTAGCGAATAACCAATAATCCCGGCTCTGTGCTCCGAGGAACCCCTTGCAGAGTGTGATATCAAGAGCATTTTGCAATTTGATATCACAGCTCTAACTTTCAAGGATGCTATCATCTTCGAGGAACACCAAAAACAGCGTTTCACGGACGAAACTGTGTGGATGATCTCCCATACTTCAAAACTGGTAATCAATAATCCTAAACCATTATCATCATTGCTTCAGTTCCTGTCATTCAAAAACACTTATTGTAGCACCAATTAAACCGACCATATCTAAGATTTCAATCGTGTTACGCCTACAAATGCGTTCACCGATCATTTCCGATAACCTCAATAATATATAGTTGTGAAGCTATTAATTGCGCACGGCTCTAATTGTTACTCTCTGTTATCTATCTCCTAACCTACTTTGAAAGCAGAATTTGTAAGGATGGATCTTGCACTTCAGAATACGTTCTAGAAAAGACGTTCAACATCTTCACAATGATACATATAAATCCCGCTATGTCGCTGCAAGACCTTTTAAATCATTTTGCAAATTTCGTAGGAGAAACGCGTCTTTTATAATTGCTACCCTCGTAAGATTGTACTGAATGTTAAATATATATTGTGAAGTAATCCTGCAAGTGCACAATGCAAATCGGTAACGGAGACATATGCTAGCTTATGTAAAAGTAGTAACTTTTCAAAAACTCAATATTTTTCATTGATTTTTTTTTTGCGTTCTGCCCTAGGTGGCTGTGAGATATATACGACAGTTTCTGGCATAATGTTTACAGAAATTGAACTTTGCCACCATCGATCTCTACATAATGTCTGCACTCACAAGCCTACTCCATAAAAGAATTTTCTAGTTAAAAACGGCACTTTGAAAATTCTAATCGATTTTAGGATAAAGTGGCATTCACCTAACTCAAAAAGTCTAAGAACCTGTCCTTCTCCCCAAGTTAAAGTCAAACTTATTGCTTTAGATTGACAAGGTAACATAAAAGCTGCTTCATTGTTAAAGTAAGATTAGCGAAGGAAAATTAACGATTAGATGACACCGTTATGGTATTGTTGGCCTAAGGATTATCTCTTTGTGAAAATGGCACAATTTTCTGATCCTCACATGTTTTGGACTTTCGCTATTTTAGTTTCTGACGGATTACTTCCCTTCTGGAGATGTATCCTAATTCTTTGGAATGGAAGCTCATTCTGGCTCTGGTTACTAGTACTTTTGCAATATTATTCACTGTAATTGCGATTCCATTACTCCAAGCTGACCTTGAGAGTCTAAAAACGGAGGTATTCAGCGAAATGGACGAGTTTCGGGTAAGTTGTATTTGGCTACATAAATTCATGCAAAATATGAATGGGAATAATTATGAAATCTAAAATTACTCTCAATTTTTCCAAGCATTATGCAGAGATAGAATTTTTCCAAAACCTTGTAAAAATTTTCGAAAAAAGATTCTGCTCGCTCTAGGTTTTGGCGATTCAAACTTATTTGTCAGACGTTACGGAGCACTTCTACTAGTTTGATTACTAGATTAATTGTCTTGACAGGCTTCCACTGATGCTCTTTGGGACGATCTCCTTGAAATCGAGCGGAACCCTATTGCCAAAAGGGATATCTCTGTTGTTTACAGTCGAAGACCAGTAATTCATAGAAAAGCAAAACGCAAGTTTTTTAAGTGTTCACTTTCATTCAGCTAGTGCTAGTTTTTTTTGGCGAGTTAAAAAAACTTTATACGCCAACAATCAAATTTTTGATACTGATTAAAATGGAATTTTTACATGACTCTGAAACCAAAAAAATTATCTTCTTTACATCTTGCTCCGTTGAAAAATTTCCAACCATTCAGTACGTCGATCACAAAACCTACGTCATCGATGGATAACTAAAGCACAAAAATACAATCACATCTATGGTGCAAAACTAGCTCAGATGGCCAAAGCTATTCCACAGCTGGATAAATCATGGGGCAAACGCATCGCTATAGCACTGAAAAGTAGGAAATTTATTATTTTTCACCGATGTGAAGTTCACTTTGAACTTTGAACTGTTCTAGAACCTCCGCATCGGCTCCATGGCCAGAGAATTCTAAAAAATGATGGTAATGATGTTTTTACTGACGATTTACCTGGAGAAAGCAAATCCCACGGCAAGTACATCACACATTTTCTGGATACATTTCAGTTTAATGTTACTGCTATTTTCGGAAATACAAAAGTTGAAGCATTTACGCTCTGCTTCCGATAATATCGTTTTACTCATGAGAAAAGTTATCAAAGTTGCTATAATTGGTAAAATAAAAGTTAAAAAATATGTGCGTACTTACTTAGAATCCTACTTGTAGGGATGCCCAAACGTCGTCAACAAAACCAATGCAGATTACGCCCTGATCCAGAATGTCCCCAGGGTCCTCCGGGACCACCTGGTGATGACGGCAGCAATGGAGGTAGGCTGTGCACTTTTATTTTACATTCATTTAGAGTTTTTGTATGTCACTTTTTTTCAAAAAGAGAGAGAAGAGGATAAGATTTTCTCAGAACTCAAAATGTACGAGGTGTAAATGTCAAGCCAACGTTTAGCTCAACTTCATTGATTGTTCCGGTTTCTTTCCAGAAAATGGCGTGGATGGAGTGCCCGGAACAAATGGAAAAAGTGCTACCGATTATCTTGTGTGCATTCAATGTCCTGTAGGCCCTCCAGGTCCCCGTGGACCACGTGGAGCTCCAGGACCAGTCGGGCCACATGGTTAGCTAGACTGTCTTGAGCGTCACAATGACTATTGAACTTCTCACATTAAGGGCCTGATGGTGAGCCTGGCGTCAGTGGTATAGGGCCACCTGGACCTGAAGGTGCGAAAGGAGAGGTTGGACCACAAGGTCAGCGTTTTGCCCGGATTATTATAATTTTTGAGACAAAAATTGAAGAATTTCAGGGGTGACAGGGCCACCTGGAACACCCGGTGAGCCGGGCAGAGTTGGTACCAGATGGATGTGCCCTCCGGGTGAAAAGGGCGTACCAGGTAATGTCGGGCCCAATCATAGCAAACATAAGAGATGAAGAGCTTGAAATTATGCAACGTTCAGGGCCACCAGGTGGTTTTGGTCCCGGAGGTCCACTTGGAAGTTCGGGTGAAGTTGGTTTACCTGGTGCTACCGGTTTAATTGGTAAACGTGGATTGATTGGAGCACCTGGAGAACCTGGGAAAATTGGCAGTCGTGGAAGGAAAGGCAGAAAAGGTTTGTGAGTTCAAATGGAAAATACCCATGAAAATTCTTGTTTACAGCTTTTGACCCGAATTATTGCGAATGTCCAATTAGGACCAAGTCCAGTGTGGGAATGCCTGTCATAAATCCAAAAAATAGTACAGAATTTGATAAATACCCGAAGAATCTTGATCTTGATCGAATAATTTGATGCAATATAAATACATTCTTATATGTGTGATATGTGCGTTACACTGACAATGGCACCCTAATACCTGATAGACTTACTTGTATCCACACGATATATGGAACAAGCTCATGGAGAATCTGTCTTATCTAAGCTCCGCCCATTAACAACTGCAAGCCACGCCCACTCGAAGACACGGCAGCCGGGCAGAAGGCATACGGGTAACCGTCAACGGGACACCCATACCCGCTCTGCCACTGTCATCACGAGTGCGCTCATTATATGTGCAAGTTGAAACAGGAATAATTCTCTGGAAATTTGCGCAGATTGCCAGAGTTTGTACTCATCGCTGTTAAAATTATTCTAATAGCTAATAGAGGAAAAAAGGTGAGGGGGGAGGGGTCCGAAGAAGGCGGGGATGTCTCTTTCTCCCCCCTCCCCTTCCAAAAAATAAACGACTAAATTTTCGAAGGCAGTCTTATAAAATCAACCAATTACTGTATGTGGATTGAAAGGATAACGAATTTTATAAAAATTGAATTAATTCTATAGAAAATTTGGCATACACTCCGCTGATCATTAGAGAAAAATTCAAACCCCTCTCCTCTTCCAGAATTCCATGCACTGTCTACAAGATTCACGCAAAATTTCACAATTTCAATCAAGGATTGTCATAATTGAGTTTCGGTACAGTTTCAAAGATTGCCAAAAAGTTTTTTTAGTGTATGTAGTAGATATTGGAGAAAAACGTAGAAGGATAGATTTTATTAGAGATAATTTCATTATTAGATACAGAGAGAAGGCAAGTGCAGTCCCAGAAAATTTCTCTCAGGCAACCGGCCAAAGGTGACAAAAAGTTTTTTTCATCTAAGACACTTCGAAGTAAAGTGTACTCGATGTTTACACGGACTGCCTGAACGTGAATGCAACCCCTTCCAACATAAAGGTAGATTCTAGCAACGACAGTCAATCTTGAAAAAATTTCTGGAACAATTTTTCAAGGGGCCACCTCGATTCTTCGAAATCGGAGGAAGCCTTCTAATCCTAAGAAGTGGCGTTTACGAGGAAAGTTTGATTCGCGTAAAGTGTGATGACACAAAATTGGCTTAATTCAAAGATCGTATCACGATAACCTACATGCAGATTTCGTTTTCATAGATATGAATCGAAAAATAAGAACAGGCAAAAATCTCGAGAATGTCCCTCTTTTAGGAATTTCTATGGCAAAATGATATTTCTCGAAAATTTCTGTTTCTAACTATTGTACCTGCAATACATAGTATAGAATTGTATGTATGCATGAATAATACAGCATCGCTTCAAAAGAAATTTGCCAAGTTTCGTCTTCTCAAATTGGCCAACAAAAAAAAAATACAGCGAGTGCACGTATGAGATCGATATGATTTTTTATGATTTATGATTTATTTGCCTTTCATTATTACAATATGCGGAACCCAAACAAACTGATACATTCTTTCAACGTGAGTGATCTTACTCTTTGCCAATTGTAAGTATCAAGCTTCTTCTGAAATTCGTCTCTCCATCGGTTAGGGCCAGTATATCGAGTCGTGTTCTCTTCAGGGCTTCTTGCAGTTCATGCAGTTGGACTTTTCCGATGCGTAAACAGTCGTTGTTGGGATGAAACATACTTGATCCTGCTGTTCCGGGGCTTCAGGGGTTAAAGGTGTTCGACGTCCGGTAGGGTGGGGAAGAGCGGTCAAAATGACCGACCAGTCGAGGGACGTGTAGAAGATGAATTCGATCGATATGATGCGATTCGTTATTTCTGAGCAGTCCTCTGAATTTTCGGACATCGAAGACGTTTACAAATTGCTCTACAGGCCTCTGTAGATATACATGCCCACTGAATTGCGACAAAAACTTCGTGTGGGGTCATTGCGATAAGTACATTTGTAAGCAAAAAGTCCTCAAAATTATTTGGAACTTCTTTTGTGTAACCAAAACAACTTAGGTTTTGGCGGTAACTTTCACGCACATAGTCTTTGGACGGGTAGCGCAAATTGCTTAGTCTTAGTCTGAGAGTAATTGGTTTGTTATTTGTAGAGATCATGTCAGATGGTCGTATCTCGCAAATAAGCAAGGTTGCGGTTCTTACAGCCCGGTAGTGGAATAGCTCGGTAGAAATAATTGAGTAAAGAAAATTAGTCACCCATATCGGTGGTCTTCAAGTTGAGCGAAAACACAAAGCAGTATAGAATCATGACTTATAATAAGCGGCTTAATCTGAAGTTGTGTGGAGTTTGTCCGTTACGAAATTACAGTGAGGAATGATTTACGATACTAAACATCATGTGAGGTTAAGATAGCGAGTATGGTTCATTTTTAACTACGGCTCACTTTGCAATAAACCGAACAATGATTTGAGAGAGAAGCTCTCAGAAAGTGAGTTTGCACGGTTCACGATGCCAGTGCGAACCTCTGCGGAGCAGAGGTGAAGCACTGGTAATTTAATATGAGCACATCTCTTGATGATAGGATACATTATCCACAAACGTAACCATGCCCCTATTATAAGGAGGCTTGCATAGGGGTGAGCTTCAGTTTGTTATATTCCATGGAGCAAAACCCCGATGATCCCTCAAAGCAGTGGTTGCTTCGGGCACTTATGAATGGTCAACGTCTTCGCTTACGAGGTGCTGAAAAAAAATGGCGACCACGCCACCACTGCCGACCACACCAGATAGGTCACATCACGTAAGTTCCTTGAACTTTTATCGAATATCAAGGTCAAACAGTATCCTTTGGTGATGACATTCACTTACTTAGATACACAGATGGTCTCTCTTCGCGCGTCGTGCAGGCCCCAGCACAGAAGTGTCCTCTCGGTTCGCGCATCCACGATCTCCTTAGTTGTCATCGCTGCGTCCAGAAGTTCCACGTGCGAAGATCGTCTGATTGCTCAGCTGGTACATCCCTTTCACGAACACGTCTGCCCATCTATTTGGTGTCTTCCTCGGGAACGTTTTGGTTTGCAAAGAATCCACTCCGATGTTCGTAATGTCCATCTGTCGTCTGTTCTTCTAATGATGTGACCATCGATGCTTCGCTTTTGCAAAAGCATACAATACCGCTCTCAGAACGTGCAAAATTTCCGTGAATGTCGCGGAAACCCCGGAATTCCGCGAAGGACCGCGAAATTTTCGGAATTTCGCGAAATTCCGCAAATGTCGCGAAATTCCGAAAATTTCGCGGTCCTTCGCGGAATTCCGGGGTTTCCGCGACATTCACGGAAATTTTGCACGTTCTGAGAGCGGTATTGTATTCCGTATTCCGTACTCCGCTAGGTCACAAAGACAGGACATTCTTCTCTATTCGAACTGCGAAACAACTAGATCTTGCTTGTGTCGAGTCTTCTACAGAAAACTGCGTTTAAACGCTCTGTGTGTGGTCCGTAAAGCTTTCGGCTACAGTGGCTACAGTGTCGGCCCAAGTGTCAGCTGCGTAACAGAGCGCAGGGAGAACGGTTGAGTCGAACAGGTGGGCGCAATCAATGGTCGGTAACTCCCTTTGGAGGCTCAAAGACGACTCATCTGCTTCCCTTCTTTTCTCGCCTCAAGTTGTTCTCCATGTTCATCGGACACGTATACACGTAAGAAGGCTTGAATTGAGGTAAACTGACCTGCATAAATAAGCACCCATCCATTACCCCGGGCAGCCAGTCAGGCTGGGCCTTATGCATTGGAACCGAGTTGTGCAGGAGAAATGTTCTTGTTGTTCTCGCGCAAAAACAGGGTTTTGGATTCAGACTTTTTACTATGAAACGACAGAGCTTAGCTGGTCGCTTCGCTAGTACCGATTACTGCTTACCGACCGTGTTAAATAATCGCGCAGATCCCTAATCAATCGGCCAACATTCCTGGGACTATCTCCACCCTGTAAGCGTAGAATCTATCATGACTTATAAGGGATCGGTCAAAGTTTGCCAGTGTTGCCGGTGTTGAAAGTGTTACCGGTGTTGAAACCGTTGCCAGTGTTGAAAGTGTTGAAAATGTTACCGGTGTTGAAAATGTTGCCAGTGTTGAAAGTGTTGAAAGTGTTGCCAGCATACCTTCGATAGTCAAGAGACAGAGGCTAGAAAGTGATAGTTGTTTGAGTTCCTGCCCCCTATAAAAAGTGAAAGTTGTTTCAGAAATTAGTTGGAAACAGATGTGAATTAAACCAGCAAACTTGAAAAATTTATATAAAAGAGAGGTTAGCACACCACAAAATTTGAAACCTTATTTTGGTGGTTTCCTACGCACGGTTTCGTCTTCAAAATTGCCGGTTAAATTGTGTGACAACAGGAAAAAAGTTCTTTTTTAATTGAAAAAAAGCATTAGTTGTGGCGGTAGTTGGGAGGCCGAAAGAAGGCAAACTTGTCAACAACTGAACTGAACATGTTAAACATGTTCAACAACCAACCAACCATCTCTGTGGATATAACTCATCATTGACATTCGTAATATCCAGCAGTCTTCTTGCAAACTAAGTCGTTATTCTTTAGTTTTATGAAGTCTGGGCCTGAAGCATAATGTCCTGTTGTTATTCGTGCTTTGTGTAAAAGTAACAATTACATTGTTTGTTTTTTTGATGGTACGCCTCGAGCGTATTTAATGAAAATGAAAATGAAATGAAAATGTCTGAAAAGTTATGTTGCACATCGACGCCAATCTGATTTTTGACGCGTCCTTTAAATTTTCACCCCCCGCATAGTCGTTTCCTATCCTGCGACGTTGTCTGGATTCTTCCGCACATCATTTTGAGCAAGCAACGTCCAAGCTGGAGAAAATTTGTTGCAAAAGCATTGAAAGAAAACAAGGTAAAGAAAAACGCACTTTTTGGTAATCTTCATAAAAAAACCGGCACAAGCAAAGAAGTAAGCTCGGCGACGTTGTCTACATCATAGACAGAAACAAGACCTATCAAATACACAAAAAAACAGAGTGAAAAGAGTTGAACTGAAGAAAAAGCAAGAGGTTTTTGAAAACTCCGTTTTTGCTATATTTCTCGTTTGAATCATAAAA